CTAAAATCTAAACCTGTCAGATAAAAAAAAACAGTTGTTAAAAATTATACAGAAAAACAAATCTTCTCTGGGATAAATATAAATCCAGAGTACTGATCCTAGTGTTTATAGAATGCATATTCTTATGTTATTTAAAAACATATCCAATAAATTTTTTTTAAAAAAATTGTGGTATAATATACATGAAACAACCACTGGTGATATTTAGTATCTTCATCATGTTGTGAAACCATCACCAAAACTAGTTCCAGAACATTCTAATCACCCACAAAGGAAACTCCTTTCTCATTAAGCAGTCATTCCAACTTCCCATTCCTTTCTGATAACCAGTAATTTACTTTCTGAATGGACTTGCCTATTTTGGGGTATATATACATATACATATATATATATATACATATATATATATATATATGTATATATCTCACACAATACATGGCATTTTGCCTGACTTCTTTCTTAATGTGTATTCAAGGCTTATTAGGATTTTTCTTATCCTGAATACATTCCATTATTTGTATACATTGATCATTCATCAGCTGGTGATCATTTTGGGTTGCTTCTCTTGATCATTGGACTTAATGCTGCTATGAAAATCTGTATACAAGTTTTTGTTTGAAAGTTGTGTTTTCCGTTGGTTTTGGTGTACAGCTAGGCGTAGAACTGCCATGTTAACAGTAATTCTATATTAATCTTATTGAGATACTGCCAACTGTTTTCCACAGCAGCTGTACCATTTTCCCTCCCTGCCAGCAGTGAGTGAAAGTTCCAATTTTTCCACATCCTCTCCAACACTTATTTTCTGTTTTTGAAATTATAGTCATCGTAGTGGGCATGAGGTGTATCTCACTTTGATGTTGGTTTACAAGGTAATGAAATGACACTGAGCATCTTTTCATGCACTTGGTAGCTATTTATCTTCCCTGGAGAAAGGTGAATTTCATCCCTTGACCCATTTTAAGCTGGGGTTTCTTTTTTTGTTGATGAATGTAGTTGTTTGTTTTTTTGGTCAGTCATGGGGCCTGAACTCTGGGCCAGAGCACTGTCCTTCAGCTCGTTAGCTCAAGGCTAGTGCTCTACCACTGGAGCCACAGAGCCACTTCTGGCTTTTTCTGCTTATGTCATGATGAGGAATCGAACCCAGGGCAAGCACTCTACCACTGAGCCACCTTCCCAGCCCCCTAGTTGTTCTTTTCATATTCTGGGTACTAGTCCCTTACCAGATACATGATTTGCAATTTCTTTCTTCCATTCTGTGAGTTGCCTTTTCATTTTCTTAGAAGTATGCTTTGATACATGCAAGATTTTCTTGGTAGTATCTTTTGACACACAAGAGATTTTAATGATGGAATTCCATTTATTTTCTTTTTGTTGCTAAATCCAAAATGATACTCATGTTTTATGTTTTCTTCTCAATTTTATAGCTTTAGCACTTATATTTAGGTCTTATTTTGTATTAACTTTTGTACTTGGTGCAGTGTAATGGTCCAACTCCATTCTTTTGCATGTGAGTATCTAGTGATTTGAGCACTACCTATTGAAGAGACTTTTTTGGCATGCTTGTTGAAAATTGGTTGACCATAGTGTATTGATTTTTGGTTCTTTAGTCTATGCTATTAGCCTTTTTGTTACTTAAAAGAGTTGAACTTAGGGCCTCATGTCAGGCAGGTGCTCTATCACTTCAGCCACACACCTCCAGTTCCTACGCTTTTTTAAAATACCACTTTCTAAAATAACCATACTCTTTTGATTAATGTAGCTTTATAGGAAAGTTTGAGGCTAGAAAATGTATGTTCCTCAGTATTGTTCCTTTTGTTTTAAGCTATTTTTGGTCTTCTTTGGTCCCTTGAGATTTCATGTTTTAGATTTGCTCTACCAATTCTATAGACAGGTCACTGAGATTGATAGGAATTACATTCAATTTATAGAATAATTCTGGGAGTAGTACCATCAGAATAGTGCTACGTCTTCTAATATATGAATACTGATATCTTCCATTTATTTGAGTCTTTAATTTCTTTCAGCAATACTCTATATTTTTCAGTGTGCAACTCTTATAACTTCTTGATTAAATTTGCACCCATGTTTTTGTTTTATGTTCTCATGGTATTGCTTAATTTCTTTGTTGGAGTTTTGTTTATACAATTGACTTTTGTGTGCTTTTATCCTCTGTTGAATTTTTAAGTTAGCTGATTTTTTTGAATTTTTAATATTAGAATTGTGTACAATATAGTTTTATTTCTTCCTTTCAGTTATTTTTTCTTGCCCTGATTTCTTGGGTTACAACTTTTGATTTCAGTGTTGAATATTACAAAGGAGGCATTGTCTTGATCTTAGGGGTCAAACTTTCCTTTTGTCACTATTGCCTATATTGCTGTGGGATTTCATAATTTTTTTTTTTTTTTGGTTGGCCATAGGGCTTGAACTCTGGGCTTGGGCGCAGTCCCTGTGTTCTTCAGCTCAAGGTGAGTGCTCTACCACTTGAGCCACAGTGCCACTTCCAGTTTTCTAGTGGTTTATTGGAGATGAGAGTCTCATGGAGCAAAGCCTGCCTGGGCTGGCTTTGAACCATGATCCTTAGATCTCAGCATCCTGAGTAGCTAGGATTATAGGTGTGAGCCACCGGCACCCAGCAGTTTTCATAAATTTTTTTTTTATAAAGTTTAGGAAATTTTCTGCTCTCCCTAGTTTGTTGAATGGCTTTACTAAATGTCATGGTATATAATCATAGTATATAATGACTGGTCATTATAATGTATAATCCTTTTATTATGAGTTAGATTGGACCTCTTAGTATTTTGTTGGATGCTTTTACATCTATATTCATAAGGAGTGTTAGGCTATAGTTTTCTTGTGCTGCTTTTGTCTGGCTTTGGTAATGCTGGTCCTATAGAATGAGTTGTAAACTTCTATTCCATTATTTGTGTGTGTGTGTGTGGGGGGGGATGAGGTTAGAGGATTGGCTCTTATTCTTTTATGTTTAGAAGGGCTGACCAAGCCGGGCGCTGGTGGCTCACGCCTGTAATCCTAGCTACTCAGGAGGCTGAGATCTGAGGATCGCGGTTCAAAGCCAGCCCGGGCAGGAGAGACCGTGAGACTCCTATCTCCAATAAACCACCAGAAAACCGGAAGTGGCGCTGTAGCTCAAGTGGTAGAGCGCTCACCTTGAGCTGAAGAGCTGAGGGACAGCGCCCAGGCCTAGAGTTCAAGCCCCACGACCGACAAAAAAAAAAAAAAAATAGAAGGGCTGACCAGCATACCCATACATTGCTGGACTTTCTTTGCTAAGAGTTTTTGCCCAGTGACTTGCTCTCTTTGTTATAGGTCTGATTTTTCTTTTTTCTTTTTGTCAGATTTTTCTTTTTTTTGTTGTTGGTCATGGTGCTTAAACTTGGGGCCTGGGCACTGTCCCTCAGCTTTTCAGCTCTACCACTTGAGCCACAGCACCACTTCTGGTTTTCTGGTGGTTTATTGAAGATAAGAGTCTCACCAACTTTCCTGACTGGGCTGGCTTTGAACCATGGTCCTCAGATCTCAGCCTTAGTAGCTAGGATTACAGGCATGAGCCACTGGTACCTGGCCAGATTTTTAATTTTAATTATTTTTTTGGTGCTGTTCTGGGGCTTGAACTCATGCCTGGGTGTTGTCCTTGAGCTTTTGTGCTCAAGGCTAGTGTTCTACTACTTAAGCCACAGCTCCACTTTTGGCTTTTTTGGTAATTAATTGCAGATAACATCTTGTCTCACAGAGTTTTTCCTGCCTGGGCTGGCTCTGAACTGCACCCTTCAGCTCTCAGCCTCTTGAGTAGCTAGGATTACAGGTGTAATCCTACAGGGAGGCAGGAATGGTCTGCTGGACTGTCTGCATTTGACTTCACTTGGACACTAGCTTACTATATATAATCTTAGGGTTAGTTTGTCTGTACCTAGCTTCCTCAGCTGAAATAAAATGATTAACAACAGAATTGTTGTTGTAAAGATTAAGTATATTAATGCATTAAAAACTTTGTTTCTATTCATAGCACCGAATATTCATTAGCAAATATTATCTTTCATTATATGGTCACTAACTGCAGTATAAAATAGCATGTAGGTATCTCAAAGACAGGGTAATAGTAAAGGCCACATTTTTATCTAGCTTTATAAGAACTTAGACTAGGAGATAAATAAAATCCTAGCAAATGCCTCACCATTTGGAAATAAGGGTTTTTTAAAAATAGTATCCAGGGCTGGGAAGGTGGCTAAGTGGTAGAACACTTGCCTTGCATGCATGAGGCCCTGGGTTTGATTCCTCAGCACCACATAAGCAGAAAAATAAAAAGTCAGAAGTGGTGCTGTGGCTCCAGTGGTAGAGTGCTAGCCTTGAGGTGAAGAGCTGAGGGACAGCGCTCAGGCCCACACCAGACACCCCCCCCCCTCAAAAAAAAACAACCAGTATCCAGGAGAATGAATGGCATAGCATACAGCACTATACTAGAAAGGCCTTTTACCACCAGAGTAGAAAGTCCATACAGAAAGGGAGTCTATGAGAGAGAAACCAGGTCCTTTAGTATACTGTGAATCGTCTCTCCACTGAGGGCCATGGACCATGGGCCAATGGCCATAAGCATTCAGTCTCCTCAAGAAGGTGATATATATTGAAGATATTGTTACTGAAATATGTTTCTTAAGCTTCTTCATCTCTTTACCTTGCTTCTCCTGAACACGTAAGTATCTCTATAGCCTGATCTATCTTTGTTGAGAAAACATGTGAATTCATATCTGATATAATAAAAAATGTATAAAATATTAACATATAACATACTATTCCCACCACTATTTTCTCAGTACAATGAACAAAGGATAAGCTTGGGAACAGAAGCACTTGCTTTCTTTTCCAAGACAGAAACATTTCATGTACATCTAAAATTAATTGATTAAAAGAGAGGCTATTTTGTTTCAATTTTTTAAAAAAAGCAACTAAAATAAAGGTTACATTGATATAATACATTACTATAACAATGTATTTTAAAAGATGGGAATTTAGTTTATACTTATTGTATATTAAGTTAGTGAATTACAATTAATAGGAAATTTCACAAAATTTTACTGCCCAGTGCATTTTTGCGAACAATAACTCACTGAGAGTACTAACATTCACATATGTAATTATAGAGTTTACAAGTGTACAAAACTCTGGGTAACAAATATCTAAACTTCTGGTCTTCAAACATTCAGTTAGTCCATTCTGTTAAACAGTTTGAGTACAAGGAAGCACAATAGATTATTAATTATAGTAAACAAAAGCAACAAGGCAGGGAGGAAATGAAAACTTGAGGACATAAGAATTGTGAGTATCAAAAGACAAAATCAAATAATCTGTTGTAATCCATATAATTAAATACTAGTTAGGTGAAATAACATTACAGGTATATAGTATTTTTCTCTCTACATTAATTTGCATATCTTAAATTTAATGTAAAACATTTTAATTTCAATTGAAGAATATCATACATATAGTTCTTGGTAAATCTGGATGTAATGGAATGAATACTGAATAATCATGCAAAGATCACATCAATCCTATTTGGTCATTATTATTTTAATGCTTTAGTGTTTTTCTTCGTTTATTGGACCAAGCCAACTTCAGAAGTAAAATTCATAACCAAAGAGTAATAGCTATCTGTGAAAAACTAAACAGTATAGTCATTAAAATAGTGGTTGTGATTAAACAAAAATAACTGTAACTCATAGGATAAACTTATAAAACAGTATTCTAGAAGTTTTATCTGTTATGTCTGCACTGTAATAAATCGGGACAATGTGAGTAGAGTTTACTTGACTATGGAAGAAATGAAACTCCTAGTTAGCAATGGGTTGCTTTGGAGCAGTGCACTTGTCCTCAGATTTTCTATTAGGAATGTATGTTCAAAATCCACTGGTTGTAGTTCTGAGTTATGGAGAAATGTGCCTTTACCATTGGTCCATAGACTCCTTCCTTCCTTGTTTTAATATCTTCACTTTGAGATGAGGCACTTTGTGCCCAGGAATGTGGCATTGTGCACTTACTAAAAATGTATCCATTGATAGTAGAATAATTGTACAACATTAGTGAAAGAAGAAGGTATCTTCATTTAGAAAACAAAGCATTGAATTATAACTTTACAGTCACAACACAAGCTCCAGCTCTTCCTAGGCAGAGTGGTGCAACCTAAAGAGAAACGAAAGAGAGAGGTGTTGGATTTGAAGGAAATGACTGGGGATAATACTATTCTTACTGTTCAAATTCAGAAACAGACTATTTCCAACTCCTGCAACCCCAGCCCTGTGCCCCCTGGCCTTTCTCTGTGGACCCTCTACTGATGTTCTAGGTAGATCACAAGATTGCACAGTATTTGCCCCTTTTTAAAGATGATTTTTGTGTTTTAATAGAAAGGACTGAGTGTACATAAAAGCTATATTTTGACCAAAATATAGTATGAATATGATAAAAAAAGCACTAATCATTTAACCATACTTGTCTGGAGAACTTATCAAGTGTCCTCTACTGACTGCCATGCCATCTGAGAGAAGGCCCGCCATAACCCACACCGACTGCCTCCTATGTGCTGGTGGCAAACTCTAAACCCGTTCAGTTACTTTTTAGCAGAGTAATAATAACAAGTAGCTCTGTGACAGTAAGACAGGGGTAGTGATATAGACGGAGGAATACAGTCTCCATTTGTATCTATCTTTGTGCCAATCAGGACCTTATACTGACTGTTGTTCAGCTTTTTCCACTCGGGCAGGTGCTCTAACACTTAGCCACGTCTCCACTTTCACTGTTTGCTGGTTAATTGGAGGTTTAGAGCCTTCTGAGTAGCTAGGATTATAGCCATGAATTATGAGCACCTGGCTAAGAAACAATTCTTAAACATTTCATTTACTGTCTTGGAATTCATAGTTGAATTATGGACTGAATGCTTTATGAAGAACTAGTCTGAAACCAGTAAGAATTTAGGTACTGGGAACAAAACAGTTAAAAAATATTAGTATTTGGAAGTAAGAAGATGACTAATGGAAAAAGCTAAGAAAGTGTGCTTTTGTGTGTGTGTGTGTGTGTGTGTGTGCGTGCGCGTGCGCGCGCACGCACATGCGTGTGCCAATCCTGGGGTTTGAACTCAGGGCCTGGGTGCTGTCCTGAGCTTTTTTGCTTAAGGCTAGCACTCTACCACTTGCGTCACAGATCCACTTCCGGCTTTTTTGGGAGTTAATTGGCAATAAAGAGTCTTATGGACTTTCCTGCCAGGGCTGGCTTTGAACCATAATCCTGAGATTTCAGGCTCCTTAGTAGCTAGGATTACAGGTTGAGCCATCAGTGTCCAATTGAAAGTGTGTTTTTCAATACATGCTAGGGTATTAAGAAAGTATTAGAAAACAGTAAAATCCCCAATACCAAAAGGACTTCTGAATTAGTCTATGTACCATGAGATTTTAAAAAAGAGCCATCTTCAATTATAAGAGAATTTCATTTGCTATCTCAGTCAGTTGTGCTGTATCTATTTTAAAACTACAAATATTTACAGTATGGTAGAAATATTAACATCTAAATCATTTAAGTCAAAATGTTTGTTTGTTATTAGAAACGTTCCTCAAAATACCATGGTACAAAGTGTCTACAGTGTGATTTGGTGACACTTTCATGAGAAGCAGCTAGGAAGTACAGCTTAGAGAGTCTGCTAAATACAATAAAGTCACCTTCTGCTTAGGGTCAAGGGTGCTGGGGGGCTGGGAATTGGCTTCTTTGTAATCTCATAAATACCCTCTTGTCTATTATGAGGACATCAAAACATTTATTTTCAGATACTATGGTTATAACGTTAGTTTTAGTGATACAAATGGCACGTAGACAAAATAGCAATGTGGTTACAGACCCATTTTGATTCAGAGTGATTCGTCATAAAGTATTATGTATTATAAGGATTTAAGCCAAATGCGTCTCAGCAATCTCTCTCTTTGGGCTCTGTGCCTGTCATTCACATCTACTTCTGCTAAGGTGGGAGGCTGGCACTAAGTAACTGCATAGTGTCTAACGAAATCCTGTGGAAATCAAGCCCTCTAGCTTATCTCTTCCACCTTCCAAATTTAATCAAGAGGAGACTTTGTCATATTTATGTGATATACATTGATATTGGATGTAGTTAAAAAGCATTTCTTTACCAAAAGAACTTTTTCACAAGCTGAGTGAAGATGCCAATAAAACAGAAACACAATACCTGGGTCCACTCATTTGTCTGGGGGTCATAGGCCTCCACTGTGTTAAGGTATGTCTGTCCATCATAGCCCCCAACAGCATATAACTTATCGCCAAGCAAACACACCCCCACTGCATCTCTGCTGATGCTCATAGATGCCACGGCGGTCCACATATCAGTTTTGGGATCATATCTGAAACAAAGTTTTAGAATTAGAGCTAAACATTGTCAACATATTTGTACTCTTCAGACTTGTATATACTATTGTTAATATATTGAACATCTTTTTTTTTTTTTTTTTTTGGTTGGTTGTAGGGCTTGAACTCTGAGCCTGAATGCTGTCCCTCAACTCATCAGCTCGAGGCAAGTGCTCTACCACTTGAGCCACAGTGCCACTTCTGGTTTTCTGGTGGTTATTGGAGGTTAAGAGTTTCATGGACTTTTCTGCCCGGGCTGGCTTCAAACTGCAATCCTCAGATCTCAGCCTCCTGAGTAGCTAGAATTACAGACTTGAGCCACCAGAACCTGGCTCAGATGCATACTCTTTAAAAGACTGAAAACAGCTTTGAGACTTTTAGAGTGCTTGTTGAATATGTGTCAAATAAACTCTTCCAAATTACCTTGCACCCACAAGAATCATTCTGGATCTTTTTGTTCTTTTATGAAGCACTGTAATTAGAATGCCCAAAGACATCTAAGAGCAGACACTTCATAGCAAATGACATCTTTAATATTTTTTAAATCTTCAAATGAAGTCTACAATTTAATGTTGATTTATGTGAACTATGCATCTTGATCAGATCTCACCCCTTCCATTAGTACTCCATTTCTCGAACTGGGTAGAATTTATCAAATGGGAATTTGACCTACTATCCAACCTTCTATTGCTATTGGGCTTTCTATCTGCCACTAAGTTGAGTTTCATGAGACCAATTTAGATGACTTGGTTAAGAAATATGATTAGCCTTTATTTTAAAATTTAATTTAATATCAGATTGGTCCATATATATTTCTAAGTCTTTTGCTTTTTTATTTTTTAATAAAAACTCTACCCCCTAATTAATTCTCTGAATTTATCAATCCCATTTCTTTTTTGATTAAGTGCAGTGTCCAGTAAAGAACACACACAGGATGCTTAACATATCAGTCAATTAATAAACAGTGTGTCCAGTCCTAAGGGAAAGTTTAAGTAAACAGGCAGGAATGTAGGAGAAGAACCCCAGTAGGCTGCTGGGGGGACAGAGGGAGAGACAACTGGCTCACTTCATTATAACTCTGAATGTTATAACCCCATCTTCACAGGACTCAGAAACACCTGCCTACAATGACAGCTGCTCGAGTTGCTGTTTGGATGTATTACAGACATTTGTTCCTTCACAGGAAATTACCTCTCCACACAGTCTGAGAGTCTGGAAGTGAGATTGGATGCGGGGGCATCGTGTCCTCCAATAGCATACAGCAACCCATTCCAGGTTGTTACTCCCACCCCACCTCTCCTTTTTGACATCTGTGCACATGGTGTCCATTTATTGGTGTGAGGATCAAAACATTCTACTGATTTGAGACAGGAACTTCCATCACGGCCGCCAACTGCATAAAGTCTGTAAAAAGAACAAGTGAAATGAGAAATAAGAAATAGCTGTTATTGTGCTGAAGTCAAGGAGGCTGTTCTTATGGCATTTCACTAAACTTAAAGTGTTATCCATGGTAAGACAGACTGTCAACTTATGTGTCATTGAGAGAAAAGGTATGCTACCAGAGAAATGACACGTACTTATTATGTCACTCTGGGTATATATGAAAAAGAAAATCCAAACTGAAGATCAGGTTTGGATAAAGAAGGCAGTTATTCTTTTAGAAATAAAAACTAAGAGAGTTGTACAGAGCAAATATTAGCCCCAAAACTTAAGGCTAAATTTTAAATCCAAAGGTCAAAGCTGAGAAGAAGCTATTTGGCTTTTTTTCCTTTCTTTTTATTTTCTGATTCTCTGATGGGGGGATCTTCTATCAATGGGTGAGTAAAGATACACAACCATGAATGTTTAAACATGTCAGGGGAGGGACATGGGAACTGCTACATCTAAAAAAAGCTTTTATCTACCATATACCTTATGATGGTACTAAAAATCAAACAAGATCTTGGGTCATAAAATATAAAATACTCCAGTAATATGCTCTCATTTTTCTTATAACACAATTCTACACATAATTTTTTTTTTTTTGGGGTCCGGTTGTGGGGCCTGAACTCTGGGCCCGGGCGCTGTACCTCAGCTCTTCAGTTCAAGGCTAGCACTCTACCACTTGAGCCACAGAGTCACTTCCGGCTTTTTTCATTTTGCTTATGTGGTGCTGAGGAATCAAACCCAGGGCCTCAGGCATGCAAGGCAAGCGCTCTACCACTGAGCCATTTTCCCAGCCCCTCTACACATAATTTTAAGTCTCTATTTCAAACTTGATTTCTCTCTTTCTGGAAATGATGCTAATACAAAAGGACTAAAACAGAACGAGTTGTATTTAACCACAGAGGGGCTTCATTTCATAGCAGAAGAAAGTTGAAAATGATTCATATTTAATCTCTGGGTAATCAAGAGCTAGAGGAAAGACCTCATGCAACTCTGATTTCTTTAGATCAAAATAGAGGCATTCTGGGGTTCACCAGTTTACAAAAATAAGAAAGAAGAGAAGCAAGATAAACCATAAAAAAGATAGAAGGAATTTTTAGGGAAGCACTGATGGAAACTACACTACTTTAAAAAGATCATATATATGTATATATTAGTTGTTGTTGTTGTTATTTGTTTTGTTTTCATTGCTGGCACTAGGGCTTCATACTCAAGGCCTTGTGCTCTCACTTGGCTTTCTTCTTCTTTTTTTTTTTGTCGGTCATGGGGCCTGAACTCTGGGCCTGGGCACTGTCCTCAGCTCTTCAGCTCAAGGCTAGTGCCCTACCACTTTGAATTGAACCACAGCACCACTTCTGGCTTTTTCTGCTTATGTGGTCCTAAGGAATCAAACCCAGGGCTTCACGCATGTGAGGCAAGCACTCTGCCACTGAGCCAACTTCCCAGCCCTTACTGGGCTTTCTTGCTCATTGCTGGTATTTTGCCATTTGAATCAAATCTCTAAGACCAACATTTTGTCAATTAATTGTAGATAAGAGTTCAGCATGGGCTGGGACAGTGGCTCAGTGATAGAGTGCTTGCCTTGCATGCATGAGGTCCTGGGTTCAATTCCTCAGCACCACATAAGCAAAAAGAAAAAAAGCCAGCAGTGGCGCTGTGGCTCAAGTGGTAGAACGCTAGCCTTGAGCTGAAGAGATGAGGGACAGTGCCCAGGCCCAGAGTTCAGGCCCCATGACCCCACCCCCCCCAAAAAAAAAGAAAAAAAGAAAAAGAAGAGTTCAGCAGACTTTTTCTGCCACACCTGCCTTTGAACCATGACCTACAGATTTCTGCCTCTTGAGTAGTTAGGATTATAAACATGAGCCATCTAGTGCTGGGCCAAGACCATACCATCATAAAGGTAGATAACCACCAGATGTTTACTGCAAAATTTAATATTGAATACTGCATACCTTTCCTTCCTTCCTTCCTTTTTTTTTTTTTTTGGGTCTGGTCATGGGGCTTGAACTCTGGGCCTGGGCGCTGTCCCTCAGCTCTTCAGCTCAAGGTGAGCACTCTTACCACTTGAACCACAGCGCCACTTTGCATATATTTTCTTTACTCATGAAGTAACTAGAAATATATGCTATCTGCACATTTAAACAAAACCCAATTTAAGACTGAGATATTATTCATATTTAGAACTCTCTCTTTTTTTTTTTTGGTCAGTCGTGGGGCCTGAACTGTGGGCCTGAGTGCTGTCCCTCAGCTCTGCAGCTCAAGGCTAGTGCTCTACCACTTGAGACAAAGTGCCACTTCCAGCCTTTTCTGCTTATGTGGTGCTGAGGAATTGAACCCAGGGCCTCATGCATGCAAGGCAAGCACTCTACCACTGAGCCACCTTCCCAGCCCCATATATAGAACTCTTAAAAAAAAAAAAAAAAGATTGTTTTAAAAGCTTTTCCAAAACAAAGTATTCACGTAGCAATAAATTTGGTTTACGGTGATTTAAATGAAGCTTGAACTATTTTCTTACTTTCCACTTAGTACAGCCACTCCCACTGTGCTCCTGGGTGTGGACATAGTGGCTACAAAATTCCACTGGCGAGCCTGGGGGTCCCATCGCTCCACTGTGTTCAGGTAGCTCCAGCCATCATGCCCACCCACAGCATACATGGGGCCTTCCAGCACAGCCACACCTGCAAGGAGGCAGGAAAGAGTAACCAGTTCCAAATATCACATTCTAGTTGAACATGCAAACTTAACCAATCAAACATGTATGCTAGCATCATTTGGGTTCTGTACCACTGTCCTTAGGAGGTACGTAGGTGGCATTCAACTAGCATGCTAGTTGGGTCCTTAAAAGCTGTCCAGGCAGTATTTTGATAAAGTTATTTTCTCAAAATAACTTTTGGGGAAAGTTATTTTCCAACTGTACCAGATACCTACATTACCATAACTTAAAACATTTTTCCATAACTTGAATTTAAGACAGATATATTAGAGAAGTATTTTGATTTCTTTTTTATTAATTCAAACTGATAGGAATTTTTTTTACTGCAGCCTCACTGGATACTACAGTCTGTTTGGATGATTCAGATAAGCCAGAGTCACTTGTTAAGTGATTCAGCAAACATCTACTAAAGTTTCTACTAAGTGCTATGTACTCAGAATAACATAACAGATAAGGACTGCATCCTCATGGGTCACTGCAATCCTATGCTTCAGTCAGGAAATAGACACAAAATATGTTAGGTATTGGCAAGTGCTAATTAAAAAACTTTTGTAAAGCAAAATGACAAAGTCAGGAGAAATGTATATGACAGGATGACATTTGAGTACAAACATGGATGCAATTAAAAGCAGACATGGAGATGTCTGGGGGAACAGGATGTGCAAAGGACGTGAGGCATGCATAGTGTGTCTGAAGTACAGCAAGGTGGTCAGTTTGGCTAAGCAGTGACGTAGGGGGAGCATATAGGAAGGAGGACTGAAGATCTAACTTTGAATGAGATAGAGATCCAGTAGAGGGTTTTGAGAAGAGTGTGACATGATCATGGCCAAGTGAGACACACATACCTCATTTGAGAGACAAAAAATCCTTTGTAATTCAATCATACTATAATTTGTGCATCATGGCCATATAAAAATATTGACCACTCACATCTGACCTAAAGCAATGCATTATTTCACTCAGTTGTCACATATTGAGTACTGATTGCTATCTACTTATGAAATATAGCAGATCTCTGGTATCTGCAGACATGTGCTACCAAGAGCCCGCCGTGGGTGAGAACTGTAGAGTGCTTAGGATGCAAATTTAGTGCTGTACTGTGGATGCTTAATTTTTTTCCCTATAATTCCCTGCACTAACTTCTGCTAAAATGTCTGCCTGTCAACAAACCTCAAAGTTTAACTTAATTACTTTAATAAAGCACATTCATTTCTACCTTTCTTTTGTGAAGTATACTGTCTTTTACAAAATTAAGGGCAGGATAATTCTCAGTGGATCAAACAATGATGTAAATATGCTGGTGATAATGCTGTGAGTTTTCTCCCATCAACTGAGCTGCATAATACATGTAAGGGAATGAAAGATTCGTTGTTTTTGAAATTTTGATTTTTAAAAAATTACTTTTGATCAGTTGGCCAAAATTACACATAATAAATCTACAAATAAGGCATACTGCATACGAAATAACTATGCACATAGCTATGCAAGGTATATATTACCAGCTTTATAGACTATCCACAAAGATTTTTACATGCATGTATATAAAATAAGCATATATATATTATATAATAAAATATGTGTAGATAGAAGAAAAAAGTTCCATCTTGTCTACCCCTTAAACAATGACTCAAAATAAATTTTAGCAGTAGAAACCCTTTTTCAAATAAAGTCTTCATAAAAATCTCACATATTTAGAGATAACAGAGTGATACTTAAAATTTATTTTGTAAGTTCAAACTTTTGAGTGAGCGAAACAAAAACTTAACATTTTTTGAGAAAATAAATTGAACTACTGATCATCCTATGAATTTCCTGTGGATCAATGATACCTTTTCACATAGAAATTAGAACTAAAGAATATTCCATACATGGTCTGAGTAGTATAAAATACAGCTAAATCACCAACAATCAAATTCTATATATTGCAATGATTGATCATAAATTAGAATTAAGGAGAAGTATGCAGCTGTATTACAGTGACTCTGCATTTTTATTTATTTTTTTGTTGGTCATGGGGCTTGAACTCTGGGCTTAGGTGCTGTCCCTGTGCTCTTCATCTTAAGGCAAGTGCTCTACCGCTTGAGCCACAGCGCCACTTCTGGTTTTCTATTGGTTTATTGGAGATAAGAGTCTCATGAACTTTCCTGCCCAGGCTGGCTTTGACCCATGATTCTCAGATCATAGTCTCTTGAGTAGCTAGGATTACAGTTGTGAGCCACAGGCACCCAGCTTAGTGACTTCATTTTATACTAAGCCCCAATTTATACTCATCCTCAAAAATGTACTTTCTAGACTGGAGGTGTAGCTCAGTGGAATTATGCTTGCCTAGCATGCACAAAGTGCTGGGTTCAATCCCAAGCACTGAAAACACACACACACACACAAACACACACACACATTTTGTGTCTCTGTAATAGCTGATTTTATGGACTCCAGGGTAATGTCTTATAGTTTTCTTTGTTAAGTTTCATATAAATTTTAATCTCCTTTTCTTAGTACCTTAGCCCTAACCCTCGGATTTTGCTTCCTTATCAAACTTGAAACTTATTATCCAACTTGAAACTTAAGAGTAATTTCTTATTGAGGGGTGAGGGAGAAGGGGTGTACTGGGGGAGTACTTGCCTAGCACATATGTGGCCCTGGGTTCCAGGGCCTCAGATACAAAAGGAAAGGGGGTGGGGTGGGAGAGAATCTTTCAATGAATCATAATTACATTCAATAGAATACTTGCTCATTTTTTGCTGTACCTATACTACCATATCAATTTATATTCCTAATTTTCATTTCTGGCTACTCAACCTTTGGATAGCCTCTTCTTTGGTGCTCAGTACTGTATGGCAGAGAGGTCATCTATACCTTTGTTGCCTCCAAGCTATTTTGTGCATGTGTGCATGCTGGACACAGGCCTTGAACTCATGGACTGGGTGCTTAAGCTTAAGCTTAAGCTTTTTTGCTCAATGCTGGAGCTCTACCACTTTAGCCATAGCTCTGCTTTGGGCTTTTGGTAGTTAACTGGAGAGAAGTATCTCACAAATTTTCTTGCCCAAGCTAGCTTGGAATCTATATCTTGAGATCTCAGCCTCCTGAGTAGCTAAGGTTACAGGCCTGAGCCATCTTACACATGCAGCCATCTTTTATAATGACCTATCAAGTTCTTTATTGGAACTGTTTTAAACCTTGCACAAACTGCAATGAGCTGTTCTTCCTCTGAATGTATGCCTTTTTGCAATGCGATTCTATAGTTCCTCTCATGAGTATGAATCCATGTCTACATTTTTTCACTTTGAGCTGGCTCATCTGACTTAAATGAGCTGGCTCATTTTGCCCAGTGAGACATAAGTAAACATGACACAAAACAGGTGTAAATTTTTTGAGAAAATAATCTGTGCATTGGAACTTGCCTCTCTGTGCTGGTTTTGAAATCCTGTGATGCCACCATGTGAGGGAAGACTGGGTTAGCCTGCTTTCTGATTGGACACATCTGGTTGAGTTGGTTCTGTTGCCCAGGCCTCCAATCTGCTAGCCACTAGACATCATAGATCATTCAGCCAACCAGCTAGTCCATCACAAGATCCATGAAAATCCAGTAGAGATTATGGAAAGTAGCAGAGCTCACCCAAGGCAGCTAAGACCAAAAGAACTGCCCAGCTTCTACATCTTGGAGTGTTTGTTCTACAGTAAAAGCTGGGTGATACACAGCATTTCAAGACCCAGCTCATTTTATTTCTATTCCCTTAATTTTTATTAAACAATTATTTCTATTTTGCCAACAAAAGGGAGGGCCTTAAATTCTCTTATGCATTGGAGAACATACCACCAGTTCCTTGAGGGAAAAGCATCTTCCTCATGTGTAACCTATAGAATGAGGGTAAGGCACACAGTGCATGCTAACAATGTCTGCTCAGCAACGTACTGAACAAAAGAAGAAAAATCTCTATTATATTCTTGGTGCTGTTTCAAAAATTTTCTGGGTTTTCAATTCACTTCTGCTTAAAAACTAGAGGGTATATATTGATATGAAAAACAATAATGCTGAAGGTTTTTATTATTATTATTATTATTATTTTTTGTCAGTTGTGGGGTTTGAACTCTGGGCCTGGGCACAGTCCTTCAGCTCTTCAGCTCAAGGCTAGTGCTCTGCCACTTGAGCCATAGCACCACTTCCGGCTTGCTTCTCTCTCTCTCTCTCTCTCTCTCTTTCTTTCTTGTTGGTTGTGGGGCCTGAACTCTGGGCCTGGGTGCTGTCCCTTAGCTCTTCAGCTCAAGGCTAAGGCTCTACCACTTGAACCATAGTGCCACTTCCAGTTTTTCTGGTGGTTTATTGGAGATAAGAGTCTCATGGACTTTCCTGCCCGGGGTGGCTTCAAAGTGCACTTGATCTTCAGATCTTAGCCTCCTGAGTAGCTAGGATTACAGGTGTGAGCCACCAGCACCTAGCAATGCTGAAGATTTTTAATAAGCACTCAACTTCAGCTAGGTCATACTAATTGCCAACTCAGAGCACGTACAAAAAAAGTGGTATGTCAGACTATCATACTCCCTAAACACCTCAGGTGCTATGTTTTCACTAGTGCTGCTGGCTGCATGTTTAGTGAATGAGCTTGTGTATTTTGCTTCTCTGTCTTAGATCATAGGAAGCCTGAGAAGAAATGCTTCATGATAGGCTACTATCAACACAGCTGCCACACTGGCCTTTTGCCTGGACAGAAGGCAAAATTCTGTAGAAGCCTCATCCATGCGATCAAATCCAGAGTTCCACTTACCAAGGCCATGTCTATGTGTAGACATAGGAGGCATCACACTCCAAGTTTTTGTTTTGGGGTTGTAGCACTCTACAGTATTCAAAGTTTTCAGTCCATCTCTGCCTCCAACCACGTACAGTTTGTCATCCAACACTGCAACACCGAACTGCAGCCTCCTCCCATTCATATTCGCTACAGGAGTCCACATATTTGTACGGAGATCATACTTTTCAATACTTGTTGCTCCTTAATAGTAATATAGAGGTGACATAAATACATGTGCCACTACTATTGACTACTTTATGAAATTATACATATATGAGTATAATTTGTTAGCATTAACAAAACTACTTTTATTATTCCCCAGGAAGCCTCTGTACAATCTGGTACCTCTATCTTTATGTAACTTCTCTCCTACCCATTCTCCTGGAACATTACAGATAAACCAGGGAAGGGTTATCTGTCAAAAGAGGTGGAAAGGTGACATTCAAGAGTGGGAGGAAAGAACCAGTGTTTAGAGGTTGAATGCGTATAGCAGGCAGGCATGCTTGCAGCATCAAATACTAGCGGAGGATCCAGTAAGATAAAGACTAGAAAGCATGGACAGGTTAGGTGACATGAAGGTAATCAGAGATGGCTTTATTTGAGTGGCTTTTCTGGAGCTTACAGACTTGAGAAGAGGCAGGCAGACCATAAATAAATATAATGAGGTATATGAAGAAACAGTGCAGGTTAGGAGATGGAAACTAGTTAAGACAATAGATAGAAAGTGGCAAACAAAAAGTTGCTATTCAATGTTCATGAAAAGCCTCTTTGCTAAGCTGACATTTGAGAAGATGTTGACTTGCCTTGAACTTCATTATTAGGGGTAGAACATCCAAATAACAGAGAGTATCAACACAGTATCACTGATGTGGGGTAAAATATTTGGCATGTTAAATGAAGAAGCCAATGAAAAGGGTGGGCACACCTGTAATTGTAGCTAGTGATAGGCCAGGGAAGATTGGAGGACTGAAGTTCAAGTCAGCCTAGACAAAAAAATTAGTGAGACCCCCCCTCCCCCATCTCAACAAATCAGCTGGGTATAGTGACATAAACTTATATAAACTACTTGGGAAGATCCTAATCCAGTCTGACTCAAGGAAAAACTGCAAAGCCCTCTCTGGAAAGTAATTAAAGCAAAAAGGCTAGAGGCCTGGCTCAAGTGGTGGAGTACCTCCTACTAAGGGCCTGGGTTCAAACACCAATGCCACAAAAAATTAGACAGGTAAGATAGATAGGTAGACAGACAGACAGGTAAGGCCAAAGGTGGCTGTAACAGAAGTAAGGGAAGGAGCTAAGATGGAAAAGAAGAAAGGTAGCTGGAGGCCAGAAAGGTATTGTCATAAGATGAAGACTATTAGCAGTGGGAATACAAAGTATCGAGTCAATGTACCATGTGAGATCCTATACAGAATGCCTTCTTGCAGCCAGTAGCACCTTGTATACTGTGCATTGCTATTACTTTCACTAAAAGTATTAAATATTCCAAGAATGAAACAAAGAATTCACCAGTGCCTTGAGCCAAGACTTCCTAAATGCCTGTTTTACATTTGCTTTCTATACATGCATGCATTTTCCCTTGAATTAAGAGTAAACTAAGAAATGATGATCCTAATACTTCATTATGTCTTCTTCAAAACAAAGACTTCTTTTATAAAAACACAATAGAAGCCTGGCACTGGTGGCTCATGCCTGTAATCCTAGCTACTTAGGAGGCTGAGATCTGAGGATCATGGTTTGAAGCCAGACTGGGCAGAAAAGTCTCTGAGACTTATCTCTGATAAACTATTCAGAAAAAGCCAGAAGTGGCATGCTATGGCTTAAGTGGAAGAGCCCTAGCCTTGAGCTCAAAGAAGCCCTGAGTTTAAGCCTCAGGACTGGCAAAAACAAACAACTCCCCCCAAAACAAACAATCCCTCCTCCCCCATATAACAGAAACATCAAAATCTGGAAGTTAACATTTTACAATACTATTATCTACTACAAACTTCCTTTGGATTTTGCCATTTGTGTCAATTATAACCTTTACAGCAAAAGAAGATCCATGATGATGCATTATAATAGTTGACATATCTTATTATTTCTCCTATGATCTCCAACAATGTCTGAACCTTCCATACCAGGGCTTGAACTTAGGGACTTCACATTAGCTTGCTTGCTTGGTGGATGTTCTACCAGTTGAACCACACTCCCCACTATTGGGGCTTTCCTTTTTTTTTTTCCTCCCAGCATTGGGGTTTGAACTTAGAGCCTCATACTTGATAGACAGGTACTCTATTGTTTGAGGTACACTTCCAGCCCTTTTTGCTCTGGCTATTTTTGAGATAGGATCTCACTTTTTGTCTGGGCCTTCTTGGAGTGTGATTCTCCTACATATACTCCCAGCCATAGCTGGCATGACAGAAATGCACCATCATGCCCAATTTTCAGTTGAGTTGAGAGTCTTCTGAACTCTTTTGCTTGGGCTGATCTGAAACTGATCTCCCTGTCTATATCTTTTGCATAGCTAGGATGACAGGTCCATACCATAGTGTCCAGCCATTGGACAAGATTTGGAGATCCTACCAACTTTTTTCCCTGCCTCATCTATAACTGTGACCTCGTATCTACCTCCCAACTAGCTACTATTACAGATGTGAACCACTGACGCCTAGTCTGAACCTGACTTTTTTTTTTTTAATACTACAGACAAACAAGCCATTTAGTAGAACTATTCTCAACATGATTAGGGTTGTACATTTTTGGCAAGAAGGCTCAGATGAGCCGCTAAGTTATTGACAGTACATTTTCTCAGAGTACATGCTGCTGCTTCTCACCACTGGGAACATTAGCCTGATCTTTGGTTAAGTGGTTGTATGCCAGTTTTCTCTGCTGTAAAGATACTACTTTATTCTCTGTAACTAATAAGCATGTGCCTGGCGATACTCCGTGACTAAATATTCTGTACCTAAACTCTCACCCAGCAGCCCTTAGCCTCCATTGATAATTGCTGACTGAATTAGAAATTATAAGATGAAAATTCCTTATCCAAACTACTTGGTACCAGAAAATTCTCATATGACAGTCTGAAAATTTTGGAATATTTGCACAGCCTTTCCTGGCAGGGTATCCCTATTATAAACACCCATATTCTGAAATGCTCCAAAATCTGAAAGCTTCTGAGTGTCAAGGCTGCTCCAAGACTTTCTGATTTTGCAGCATTATAAATTTCTGATGTTCCAAGTAAGCATGCTCAGAATGTATTTTGATGGTCACCAAAGATTAATTTTTCTAGTCATATTTTTCCTGCTACATTAGTTGGCATTCAACTGTAAGGAAGAACTTGCCCACTTTGTTTTTCATTTGTGTTAAACACCAATTTAGTAAGTTATTAGCATTGACTATCATTGCTTACTTTGGTGCCCCAGTCATTCCAGTCTGAGACATTGGTGGGCCTATAAGCTATTCCATGGGTCTGTGACCTGTGTCCCCCCATTCCTTGAGCGTCTTCTTACTTTTTGGCATTCAGGTTACAGTCCAGGCTCACCTTGTTCTTCACCTGCCCTGATCATATATCCAGCCATTTCGCTGAAGAACTCTAGATCATATATTTAAATTATTAAAGTTCCCTGCCCCCAGTTTCTCTAAATATTATTAAATACCTTTCGTTGAGTCCATTCCTCCAACGGCAAATAAAGTACCAACAGTTGACTTCCTAGGCTTTGTCCGAGGGCTCTGTAACATAGGTCGTCTCTCTGGTAGTAAATGATATTTCATTGCTTCCATAATGAGTTTCTGACATTCTATGTCATCCCGAAAAAGTGCATTATTTTCCATGTCTGCTAGAAACTAAAAAAGAATAGTATGTATATTGAGTCACTAAGAAAACAGGATATAGAATAAATGATGCTTTCAAACAGAAAGTACCACACTTAAAAAATTCAAGTCAACATTTTTTCAAACAAACCCCTCAGCTCCCGACATGTTTCTATTTCCTGGGGTTCATTTCAATAGATAGTATTTTAAATATTCAGAGAAGTTACACCTTTCGGTTTCTCCCCTAAGGGTATATCCTCCTTCACAGTCTGTGTGTGAATGCCTACCAAGTCAACAGATTTTAAAACTATTTTTAGTTTATATATATAACTTTATATGTATATATTTTATACTTATATTTAATATTTTACCTAATATATGATATGATAAAAAGCACATAGGCATTATAACTTTGTGTTCTTCCCCTAAGAATATACTCCTTTGGTCTCACTGTGTGTGGAAGCCTAGAGTTCTGTATAATTCATCATGTCCCAGGGTATTTTAGATCTAGCTTCTGTATATGAGAGAAAAATGGGTTAAGGCATCTTTTAAATCTCAGAATTAATCGATTTTAAGTAAACAGTTCAATGATTTCTTTTTGTAAATGTACCAAAATGTGTAGCCATTCCCAAGAAATAGTTCAGGAGCATTATTATTAATAGCTCAGAGGCTAGATGCCCACATACTGCTCATCCCTATTCTGTCTCACAGCTCCTAGAGGGTCTCTAGGTTGGTCTTTTTTGAATTCTTTCATATACCGTCATCCAGATACTACTTTTGCTTTATATAGCACGATTTTGGGTTTGTCTGTGTTGAACATAAACTGGGCGTCACATCTTTTTATAGTGGTAACACCCCATGGCATCATGGTAAATGTAGCTTCACTCACTACTTGGTGGACACAGGTTGTTCCAGTATGAGATTCTATAAGTAAAGGTGCTAAGGAAACTTGTGTTAAGGAAGCTATTGTGTATATATTTTGATTATGGTTGGGTGGATACTTAGATGTAGACTTAGTGGGTCATATGTTGAATTTGCTTAATTTAAAAATTTTAACTATTTCCCTAAACAGCTTCTCCAGCACTAGATGAGACTGTTTCTGTACATCCTTGCCAACAACTCTGTATCACTTTATTTTAATCAGTGGAATATGTACAAAAATGTAGCCTTAATTTGCATTTCCTTAATGACTAATTATGTTGAGAATAAGTGGTTTTTTTTTTTTTTTTTTTTGGTTTCTGGTGTGTGTGTGTGTGTGTGTGTGTGTGCGCGCAGGCGTGCACTGGTCCTAAGCCTACGTGCTGTCCCTAAGAGTTTTTGTTCAAGGCTAGTATTCTACCACTTTGAGCCAGAGTTCCACTTCTGGGTTTTTCGTGGTTAACTGGAGATAGAGTCTCACGGACTTTCCTGCTTGGGCTGGCTTCTAATAATAGTCTTCAGATTTCAGCCTCTTTAGAAGTTAGGATTATAGGCATGAGCCACTGGTGCTGGATGCTCAGATTTCAGTAACTGTAGAGAAAGAAAGGTCTCTAACAAAAGTAGTAGAAAAGCATGTGGCTTTGGCATCTTAGCTTACAAAGCCAAAGGCAATAAATACCTAATTAAGACACAAGTCTCATGACCTATGCAGAATGTTAATTCTAGTATTAACTTTCCACATTTTTTTCCATGCACACAAAACAGTTACATTGGCCACAGAAACCATTAGTGAGTACACTGAGTTGGCAATTGAAGTTAACATTAAATTAACTTGCTTATAATGTACTTTTGTCCTTTCTAAATAAAAATAAATACAAAAATAAGATGTAGAAAGTAGTTTTAGAGGGACTGGGAAGGTGGCTCAGTGGTAGAGTGCTTGCCTTGCATGCATGAGGTCCTGGGTTCAATTCCTCAGCACCACATAAGCAAAAAGAAAAAAGCTGGAAGTGGCGCTGTGGCTCAAGTGGTAGAGCGCTAGCCTTGAGCTGAAGAGCTGAGGGACAGTGCCCAGGCCCAGAGTTCAGGACCCACGACTGGACCCCCCCCCCCAAAAAAAAAAAAGAAAAAAAGAAAGTAGTTTTAGATTTTATAGTAGCAATAATAAAATCCATTCCTTAGCATGGTGACAGTCTTTATAACCTATTAATAAGTGAGATTAATTACAGTTGGGCAAAGAGATATAGAAAAATACATAAACATTAATCCCAGAGTAAGATTAAAAAATGGAAGGTACTAAATTAGTCAGTACACAGTGAGTGAGAACTATAAAATATGAATTCTTATATAGTCTTCCAACTTTGTGAATGCTTTCTCTGACACAAAGGGATGGGAAACCATTAATATGAAAATGTTTGGAACAGAGAAGGCACATTTTCTTTGTACAAATTTTATTTTTGCTCTCACATTTGCTTGCTACAGACTTCTTTAACCCTATTCTCTCACACACTAGAAGGCTATAGGTGAGTTATGAACTCCATAGAAAAAAAAGTTTATACAAGGGACTAATACAGCAAGAATATACATATATGCTCAATATACATATGTTGTGGTAAAGGAAGTAGGAAATGTAAAATGAGTCTGGGGAGAGGAAAGGAACAAGATGGGGAAAATGATGGAAGTGGTGACTTTGATCAAGAAGCCCTGGACACATAGATGAACATGTTAAATTGTAACCCCCTTGTCTTCCTTGTATAGCATTTTAAAATTCAGGAAAAATAAAAAGTTGTGTTATTCAAACCAATAATTCAGAGTACCACTGGGAATACTCACAATTTAAGTATTAAGATATTTTAAATAATGTAAGCATGCCTTAGTATTTTCTGTACCCTGTTTAAAATTTGATCAAGTCTACAAAGCTGTCTTCTCTGTAGCACCTAATGATGTTTATACTTTATTCTTCTTGAACTTGGAATCAATTTTTAATAATACTCAAGGAAAAAGTAAAATAAAATGACCACCAGCACTTGTCTTTTCAATTATTTAGTTTCCCTTTTTAAAGCCACTTTGTAATGATCACTCGGTACAGGATTATAATTTATACATATTATTTCTATTGAAGTGCACTGGAGTTTGAACTCAGGGCCTTGTGCCTGCCAGCCTTGGGCCCATTTTGCTTTAGTTATTTTTTGAATGTTTATACCTGGGACTAGCCTGGGCTACAATCCTGTTTAGGCTTCCTGCACAGCTGGGATGACAGGCATATATCACCACATCCAGCTTTCATTGGTTGATATGAAGTCTTATAAACTTTTTGTCCTGGCTGGCTGCCTTGAACTAGTTTTCTGAATCTATGCTTCTCAAATAACTATGATTACAGGAATAAGCCACTGTGCTTGGCTATATTACTTGTTAACATCATTTCAAAGATTTATTGTTGAATATAATATAATAAAATTACCACATGTAAGTTGAACACCTTCTAACTAGGCTAAATAGAATGTTTCATATTAATAAAGCAGGTAAAATCTCATTTAACTGGTTATCACTGAGGAAAAAACTGTCACAATGTAAATTCCCTAGATTATTAGACCTAATCTCAATTTAAAAAATTGGTTATTATTAGCCGGGTTCAAGTTGCTTATGCCTATAATCCTAGCTACTTGGGGAGGTGAGATCTGAGGATCATGGTTCAAAGCCAGCCTGGAAGGAAATTTTGAGAGACTCTTATCTCCAATAATCACAGAAAAAGCTGGAAGTAGTGCTATGGCTTAAGTGGTAAAGCACTAGCCTTGTGCAAAAGAGCTTGGGGACAGTGCCCAGCCCAGAGTTCAAGTCCCAGAATTGACAAAAACCAACAAAAAAAAGAAAAAAAAAGAAAAAAAATTAAAAAGGTTATCTGATAGACATTAGACATTTTTAACAACTATCATATTTCCTACCTTTTTTTGGTTGTGGGGCTTGAACTTGGGGCCTAGGAACTGTCCCTGAGCTCTTCTGCTTAAAGCTAGTGCTCTACTACGTTGAGCCATAGCACTAGTTCCCGTTCTTTGGTAGTTAATTGGCGATAAGAGTCTCATGGATGTTCCTGTCTGGGCTGCCTTTGAACCATGATCCTCAGATCTCAGCCTCCTGAGCAGCTAGGATTATAGGTGTGAGCCACCAGTGCCCAGCTTTGCCGGCCCTTTAAACAACACATACAACACAATCCAAATTTTTTTTGGTTGCTTTTAGTAATGACTTCAAAACTTTACTTAGTAACTAATTCTACAATGTTACCTTTCACTTTTACAAAGAGAGAAAAAATCCAAAATCAAAGTCATCACCTGTCTCCAAGTGTCACAATACCAGAGCACCAATATCATCACCATAGCAAAGAAACGAGGCCAACTCAATGCAGTCACTTCTTCCAGCATGATGACTCACATGGATGGTGGGTCTCAAAGGTGAGGGCACATCAAATGCCTGGAAGACTTACACATCACAGCTGGACAGCGTCCACTTCATAGTAGTTGTGGGATAGGCCTCAGAATTTGTATTTCAACAAGTTCCCACATGTTGCTGATTCTACCCTTTGAGAAATTGCTGGGCTAATCTAAAGCTTTTCTTTCCTCCTCTTACTGGTCTTCTCTGCAGCATCTGATGATATTAACACTTCCTCTTTCTGAAACTTAGAATCAGTTTCTAGTTAACTGAGCCAGGCTTGGGAACAACCAGTGAACATTAGTAATTGCTAGAGAGCCACCTCTAACACATATGTCAGTGTCATTCTCTTGCCCTTGGTTCAACAACCTAAATAAGGAGTTTTCAATTTTGTTTTTCATAGACTCATGGAGGATTAAAGATGCCAAGAAATTCTGGAAACATGATTTTCCCACTTCCTTTCCTACTCCCAGACTAGTTCTTCTTCCCATGTTCCTTGTCTCATGACAGCAGCTTTACTAATCTAGTCACACAAGTCTGGATGATTCTAGGTCCCTCTTTTAGTCTGTGCCCTTCACCATTTAGTGAGTCATTTTGTTGTGTCAATTTGCTCTTCCAGATAGTTCTTCAGCCTGGTTAATTTCTCTCTAGTTCAACTGCCTATTTTACTTGGCTGAATACCAACAGCCTTCCTAATGGGTTTTGACCATAATGCATTCTCTGCAATATAATTACAATAATGTTTCCTAAATAAAATTATAGCTATGCCATTCTTGTTATGAAAGTCTACACACTGCTGTTATAAAAGTCTACACATGCCGCCTCCTGGCTTTTAGGATGAAATCCAAACTTGCTGACAGGACTAGGAGGTTCTTCATGTTTGGTCCATTTCTCCCTCTAGCACCATCACTTGACATTCTCCTTTCATTTCTGTATTTAAGTCAGGAAAACCATCTTCAAATTCCAGAACACAATATATTCACTCACCACTCACAACAACACATAATCTCTATCTCTCCTGGGTATTGTATCCCTCTTTTGGGTGGCAAACCCATGGCAGATATCAGATGGCACTTCAGGATGCCCTCCTTGTTTTCCCACCATCAATTTTTTTGGAGGCCACTCGTATTATTTCAATGTCATGTTCATTTAACTATCACAGGCTTAATCTCATTATATTATGCAGTAATCACATTATGGTTTTTGTGTGTGTGTGTGTGTGTGTGTGTGTGTGTGTGTGTGTGTGTGTTTGTGTGTGTGTGTGTGTGTGTGTGTGTGTGTGTGTGTGTGTGTGGTGCTGGCACTAGGGCTTGAACTCAGGGCCTGTATGCTGTCTTTAGCTTTTTTCCTCAAGGTTGATCACTTGCACTACAAGTCCACTTTGGCTTTTTAGTGATTAATTAGAGATGAGTCTCACGAACTTTGCTGTGCAGGCTTGGCTTCAAACCACAGTCCTCAGATCTCTGACTTCTGAATAGCCTGATTGTAAGTATAAACCACTTGTGGCTGGCTTTCACATTAGGTTTTAATCAGTTTTTTCCTTCCTCTTACCACACCTAGTAATTTTAAATTTATATGCTCTATAAGCAAAAAAGTTTCGTGACGGGGGGGAGGGGGGAGGCTGGGAAGGGAGGTGAAGGGTAAACAAAGGAGGAGGCTGCAATGCTTGGTAAGAAATGTATGCATTTTCCTGCCCATGTAATTGTAACCCCTCTGTACAGTATGTTCTCAAATAAAATAAAATAAAATTTAAAAAAAAAAAAAAAAGTTTCGTGAAAAAGAAACAGACCCTCCTTGAGTTCAAATCTCACTTCTGCTTCTCATTAACTCTACGATGTTAGCCAAGAATCAAGGCCAAAAAACCCACAAAAAATACTATAGTACAGAAGGATGGGAATTTATGCAATCACTGTAATTTTAAACATATGGTTTTCCTTTTTTGGTTTGTTATTTCATTTGTACCACAGGGTTTGGACTAAATCAACTCTAAAGTTCCTTTCAACTCTAAGAAGAACTTATGGATATGATTATCTGCAGAATCTGGGATAGCAGGCATTTTAAAGGTCTATGAAAATCATTCAAATACAGTGAATATAAATATTTGAAGCTGCAGAATCACAGTAAATTTTCATGATCACTTAATTGCACAGATTGCTTAAAATGCATAATAAGACTTTCAGGTTTTATTTTATTTTATTTCGAAAATTTGCTAGAGAGCAGTATAAAAATAACTCCTTTCTTTTTAAATCTAATCACAAGGGAAACATTTTATTATGTTATTTTTCTTGGATTGCTGTTAATTCATGAAGTTTCACTCCTGTATATTATAGTTTATCTCCAAATATTCTACTTCTAAAGAGAGAGGTACTTCTTGTAAAGTTCCAGCATTAACTGTTTTCTTTGTTAAGGCAGAGGAATTTTTGCTTACATTGCAGGCACTAATACATTACTACAAGTAAAGGTAACATTTTATAGTATTTAAAAAAGTAAAAATTATGTACGCAAATATGATATATCTGATTGTATTCAATGTACTACCAGCTGTCTCTTAATTCTTACAGCATACTTACTTCCCAGAACCTGTGAGACAAGTCAGAAAGGATATTCCCTCTACTTGACGGATGAGGAAATGGAGGTGTCTGAGTATGCCAAGTCCCAGTTTTAAAATGGCAGAGCTGGAACCGATACCGTATCTTATTGACCTATGTATAACTAGAATCCAGCAGTTAGCTGATACTTAAACATGTAACAAATGAATTAATGTACATTTTTTTAGTTCTTAGAGTACAGGGATCCTTTTAGTGTTCATTTCCTTCTAATTGATAGGGCATGTTTATAGCTGAGTCAATTAAAATTACTAAGTTAAAATCAAGAATGTTAATTGATGCAATTTAGGTAAGTCAAGACCTCTGGATTGAAAACAGTAAGTAAAATTTTTTTTTATCTTATTGATAGAATAGGCAAAGGAAAAAAAATCCCTATAAACAAGTACCTGTGGTGCAAGCAGAGGTAGCCTAATATAGGCCAAAAGCTTGCTGAGATCTTTCCGTCTCTGCTCCAAATCATGCCGGACCCAGGTCAGAAGTGCATTCAGTATAGTCTCCTCATTAGGAATGTTCATGTCATCACTGGCCAGGAGCTTTGCAATCTCACTGGCTGGGAGGAGCACAAACTCCTGGTTTCTTATTACTTCCATAAAATGTTCCTAGAGGAAAAACAATAGAAGATAAATAATATTGCTCTTTTTGGCCCTCAGATTATTTAAAAAGATGTTAAAAGTTGGTTAAATTAAATGCTCAAACGTAATTTATACTTCAGACCTTACAGTGTACTGCCACGTACTGGGAAGGAAACAGCAGAAACACTGAAACTGGAATTACGTTGCTGAACATAAATAAGGAGAATTAAAGCATTGTCTCACTACATTTTATAAATGAATCTGTGTCATTTACGGACTGATTTGCCCATAATGTTAAAGAGTAAGTTTGGCAAGGCTTTTGAAGTGAGGTAAGAAAAAAATGAATTAGAAATGCGATGTAGGACACCTTAGCATGAGAAGTTAGTTTGGAATTGTGGTTGCTGAAGGACTGAGGCAATAGTATCACATCTGGTGGTATTAGCACTCAGGAGGTCAAGTCAGGAGGATCATGAGTTCTAGGTTAGACTGGGCTACGTATCAAGTTTGAGGCCACAATGGAGTAGGTAGCCAGACTGTTTCAAGCAAGCGAATGGCAAACACACAGAAAGAATTTAGATAATGGTGGAGCCAAATTAAGCTTCAAGTTGTCTTATCCAGAAACCACCTCAGGCTAACTAGACTTCCTCATACAGTTCTAGACCACAGCCTTTTTATACCCTACCTGAGAAAAGTCCTAAAACCAAATTGGCCTTTTGTTCTTGTTATTTTTTGAGATAAAATCTGGTTAGTAGTCTAGGTCATGCTTGAACACATTATCTTCTTGCCTCCTAAATTACAGGTATGCAATACTATGTCTAGATCAAAAGTATTATAAGACTACCAGTGATACTAGGTCTGTTTTGAAAACCTGAATCTCTTTTAGTCTGATTTATGTACAAAGTTATTTTGCTCACAGGAGAAAGAAACAAAGCAAAAGTGTATAATGAGGAAGGTCATAGGACCAGGACCTTAGATGAAGATGACTCAGTCCAGGATGTACATGAGAATCGAGCCCTCTATAAGTTGAAGAAATGCTCTTCGGTGTGAGATGATTTCTACACGTTATTATGCTATGTAATCCAAAGAGAAGGAATGCCGACCCTGATTTGAAGATTTAAAAGTCTTAACACATGGACAGTTAACATTGTTAAATAAAAATGCAAATACTGGACATATGTGGTTCCCTAATGTTTTCTAATCCTTCCTAAGGTACTATTCCTAGATTACTATAGGGTTTCAGTAAAGTAGCTATTTAAATTAGAGCTAGAGATAAGATCTGTCAACAACTACCTTCTATATTAACATGGAATCATATATTCTATTTAGCCTGTGGTAATCTGAGTGAGATACTGTCTGATAATACATCTTGGGGTGACATTCCTTCCAGCAGAAATTCTTCAGAGGAAAAAGCATTCATAAATAATTAACTAAATCCAATCACTCCAATTCATCATGGTTTGTTAAAACATACCCAAATGAATCTATTTTAAGTGATTGATGATCATTTTCAGAAAGATATTTTAATAAAATTTCAACACTGGAATGGCTTCAAGCAAATTGTTCTGCTCAACTGTTTAACTGACATTATAAAATGATTCGGTAACACTCACAGTAAGAGTTATAAAAAAAAAGTTATAAAAATGTTAAAAGTGGGCTGAACTTTAGCTCAGAGGTAGAGTACATATGTGGGAGCCTGGGTTCAATTCCCAGGACTGGGGAAAAAAAAGTTAAAACTCTCAACTCAGTTACTCTTCTTCTAATTTAAACCTTAACAAAGCCCAATGTCCAACAATACTTCTTTGTAATATTATGTAGAGTACTAAATACTCTCAGTTAGTCTAACTGATAGACTGATGGAAAGAAACAAAATGTCCAACCAGAACTTGTAACCCAAGAGACTTTTAAAACAGGCAAAGGAAATTTCAAGGACATACAGAATCATCCCTTATTCTATTACATCCCTTACTAATTGCAGCTTCACTGTCTCAGGGGTTAAAAAAAATGTAAATAGTGATTCCTCACCTATTGTGGGATCTATGTTCCAGAGACCCCCGTGACAGATAAAAATCCGCAAAGTAGCAGTAAGTGAACTGTGATATGGTGAGGGATGACTATCTAATGCTGCTACTTTGTGGATTTTCACCTACCAAGGGGGTCTCTGGAATGTAACTCAAGATACATGTGAGGGATCACTGTATGTACGTATGTTTATGTATGTATGTATGTATGCATGAATGCATATATGTTTAGAGAAATCCAAACATGTGTTCTGGTAGCTTAAAAGTCTGGTGTGCAGCATGAGCAACATATTCGTACAATACTGGTGTAACTATTGCTGTGTTTTCAAATATTATTAACTACATTTCATCAACAATAAAATCACTTAGAGAGATAATCATTTGATGTTATTTGTTAATGTTTCTATTTCACAGCAATACCCTTTGCATTCTAGCATAACTTACATTAAGTAAAAATTGAGTTTTTCAACAAATTACACTACTGAACCAAACAAAAGTCTATGCAAAAGCATTATTTTGCTCTTAAAAAGGGTATTTTAGCAGAATTTAATGTTTTTGTGAGTTTCGTAGATTTAGAAACAAAATTCAAATTGTAAAATTAACAGTTGCTCTTTGTTTTGGTACCAAACATTTGTCTTTTACCTGTTTGTAATGGTATAATTGTCTAGACTTGTTTTTTAGAAGTTAAATGGCTTGGTCAGTGGGAGTTGGAACTAAAGGAACAGTTTCCACTCTAGGTTCCCAAAAAGGAACTCCTTCTCCTGAATTCTTACTTGTATTGTGCAATATCTTTAAACAGACACAGTACTGGCATAGCGTTATGCTTCTTTTTTCATTTGGGTAACACTGAGGGTTGAATTCAGTGTCTTGTGCTTGCCTTAAGAGTGTTCTACTACATGGGTCACACTTTGAAACTTTTTTGCTTTAGGTTATTTTTCAGAATCTCAGGCTAGCCTCAGGAATATTCTTCCCAAGTAGCTGGGATAAGAATAGGATTATAACTGTGAGCCACTGTGCCTATCCTTTACTTCACATATATATATTGTGCTAGTCTTGGAGCTTGAACTCAGGGCCTGGGCACTGACCCTGAGCTTCTTTGGCTCAAAGCTAATGCTCACCACTTGAGCCACAGTGCCACTTCAGGCCTTTTCTGAGTAGTTTATTGGAGATAAGAGTCTCACAGACCTTCCTCCCGAGCTGGCTTCCAACCATGATACTCAGATCTCAGTCTCTTGAGTAACTAGGATTATAGGTATGAACCATCAGTGCCCAGCTTTTACTTCACATTTTAAAATATGTTTTAGAATACAAGAAATATATAGGCCACTAAAAGCTTGCTAGAATGGTGCCCTTTCCCCTTTGGAATAGTTTGTAAGCAAATGAAATTACTGAAGAACTTAAAATGAAGATTGAATTTTGCTATACATTTTTATTCAGTTCCCATAGCAACAATTCAAATCAGACAATCTGCCTCTAAATTACTTATTGTTATTAGAATTCTACTTCACATGCTGTTCAAACTAAGTAATGTTAAGTAATGACCTTGAAGGGAAAAAAAAAACTCTACCACAACTAATTGGCTATAAAAATAGTTTTAAAAACAGCTAGCTAATTTAAATTTAATTTATGTCGAGGCTTAAAGCAGCAATCATGCCACTATTGTAAACAAATGGAGTGACCTAAATGCATGCAAATGTTTTCACATGAGAAAAACTCCTGTGTAGGAAAGAAATATTAAGTTATAAGTTATTAGCGGGGCTGGGAAGGTGGCTCAGTGCTAAGAGTGCTTGCCTTGTATGCATGAGATCCTGGGTTCGATTCCTCAGCACCACATAAGCAGAAAAAGCTGGAAGTGGAGCTGTGGCTCAAATGGTAGAGTGTTAGCCTTGAGCTGAAGAGCTGAGGGACAGCACCCAGGCCCAGAGTTCAGGCCCCACATCGACAAAAAATAAATAAATAAAAAAATAAAGTTATTAGGAAGAAAAAAACCCATTATAAATTTATCTTTTTCCAAAAGTATTTGAAGCTGCATATGTAAGGTTATAATATCTAAAAAGAAGGATACAGATTGAGGGGTAAGGGATTTCAAAGGATTTAATTAAGAAATATTAGGTGAAAACCATACTGGTTCTGTATATTACTGTCCTATTATATAATCTCTTATTTTTTCACTTGAGGCCCTGTGACAATCATCATCCTTGAGAATGTGAGTTGTAGTTTTATGTGATTGTTTACTCACATTTAAATCCTATTGACTTGAATAGAGTAAATATCAAACTTGATTCACTCATATAATCCTCACATCAAGCTTATGTTCCCAATAGTTGGCAAACATCTATTCATCTATTCTTACTCTTATGAAAATTCCTAAAGCACTGTCAATCTCTTCACAGACAAACCAACTCAATAGCAGCATGGAGGAGGGAGGACTAGGATGTTGGTATAATTAGCAATGTGGACAACTACATGCAGGTACACTGATGTTCACATTCTTTTTTCTCTTAGAATTTGTGCTGCCCTAGTTGAAGGTCTTAAAGCAACACACTGAAACCATTGCCTATGATAGCATGGTAAGATTGGCTGTTCATAATAAAATCCACACACCTTCCTTCCTTGTACCATCTACTATTAAGACTCAAGACTGGTTCTAAAAATATGCTTTCAACATGCCCTTCTTTTCTTACTATCTGACATCAATCCATATTCTATTACCCTTTAAGCTGCCATTCAGAACCTTCTCTATGATATATATATGTGATATATATATATATGTGATATGATATATATATATATATATATATATATATATATATATTCAATTAATTTTTTTTTTTTTGGTCATGGGACTTGAACTCTGGGCCTGGGTGCTGTCCCTGAGTTCTTCAGCTCAAGGCTAGTGCTCTACCACTTTGAGCCACAGCATCATTTCTGGTTTTCTGGTGGTTAATTGGAGATAAGTCTCATGGACTTTCCTGCCCAAGCTGGCTTTGAACCATGATCCGCAGATTTCAGCCTCCTGAGTAGTTAGGATTACAGGTGTGCGCCACTGGCACCTGGCTTTGATGATGTATATTTAAGCACATAAGTAATAAGAATGTTGCCCTTCATGGCTACAAATACTTCATAAATGCAATCAGATTTATCCTTAAGAAAAAGTCTTCTAGCTAGTCCTCTTATCATTTGTATTAACATTGTATCAATATATAAACCACTCTTGCCTATTTCCATCAATGTTTATGTTGATAATTATGAGATTCATCCATGGGCTGCAAAGTAAAATGCTTGGTGAACTCTGACTTTAGAAAGCAGCAGATCTGAAAGTATTATATGGAATAGTACACTAGGCCACTGCCCCACTTCTTACTGATTGCAAAAACTTAGGTCTCATCTGTCAGTAGAAATATTGCTTAGTGCTTTACCCCTTCATAACAAACTGAAAATATGACATGCTAGACTATGAACCTAAACCTCAAGACACACAGCAAAGCCATGTGAAAACAACATGCAGACAAGCCTTCAACAATAAGGAATAAGGTAAAGAGGTTATGCTTTCCTTCTTTCAAACAATACATACCATCGTATAATTGTGAGCCACTTTATGCAAATCTGTACAACCTTGGGCATCAGCAAAAGAACGGATTCCAAGACAGTTGGATGGATGAAGTTGTTTCATTAAAAACTTACAGCATGCTTCCACAACCTGTGAAAGCTGAAGGAGGCAGGCTGTGGACAACAGGCACTCAATATTATCTTCTTTCAATTCTAGGCGGCCTTAATGATAAGAAGAAATATCATTAATTATGGAGTACGTGACTCTTCTTCATAAAATAACTGAAGGATAAGATTTCTAAATTAAGAACTCATTGCATGTATTGCAATCTAGAAGGCTTAAGACATTTCAGAGAAATTACTAAATGGATAAAATACATATGCAAGCTGTTTTGTGACCTCTGCTAAAAAAAAATCTAAAAAACTCAGTATTTAAAAATGATTTATTAGTTGGTAACTATCTACTCTACATAAGTCTCAAATTCTAAAGGAAAAAATTTTGACTATTTGTATCACTCATTGATTTATATATTAATATTTTAGCATACTATTCAAACACTCTAACCATTTTAGAGGCTTTAATATGGAGATTTTAACCTATTTACGTATGATAAGGTGATGATGACAATAGCAGAACTAGACTACCACTTATGGAATGTTTTGTTAAAAGCAGAAACCTGAAATCTAATTACATAAATCTAAGTGGCTTTAACTGACATGATCAGACTTATTACCTGTATATGCATACTGAATCAAGGCCCATAATGAGTTCGGTTCTACACCTTCCATTTTTATTTCTTCTTGTCTTGCCTCTCTGACATCATTAGTAAACATGGCAGCAAAATAATCTGAGACAGAGGAGAGCACCAATCTGAGAACACATTGGAAAAAAAAAATCAGTGACCACATTAATGCTCGTGCTTTATCTTCTCTTCTCATTCGCTACCCTTAGACAGTCCATAGTACTGGGAAACTCATCTTAAGTTTGACAAATTGGCTTTATGCTCTACTTCCTTCCTCTGAAATTTTTCTGCTGAGATAATGATTTACCTGCTCACTATGCAGATACCACTTTCTCACATCAAGAAAATAGCCAATAGCATGAAGCCAATTATATTTTTTAAAAAAGGAAAATGCAACAGCCATTTTCTGTTTATTTATTTATTTATTTTGGCCTGGGTGCTACCCTGGTCTGGCTTCAAAACAATCCTCAGATCCAGCCTCCTGAGTTGGCTAGGAGGACAAGCATGAGGCACTAGTGCCCAGCTCTTTATCATTTTTGAAGATATAAGCAATTTTTAGAAGTAGTACATATTTAAGTGACATTTGAAAATGATTTTATTAAGTTATTTTTCACTTCTATAACACTTTAAATATTGTAGCATATGATATGTGTTTCAATATAAAATTATAGTATTTATAATACTATAAATCTATTACATTAAAACAAACTTACAGTATGTTATAGTATGTCTGTCAAATTTCGGAGTCATATTTATGGTATATATATTTGGAGTATATTTTAGGTATATATGTATATAAAACATATATCACATGTATTATATAGTTTATATATAACACATATATGCATATACTTCTTTTCATTTATGGGTCTTGATGGTATTTATATGTAAGAATATTTATGCAGAGTTACTCAATTCACTTTTGAAAGAATTAATATTATGATATAAACAACAGACAAAGGTCTTTTTGTGTCTCTAACTTCAGTCTCCTTCCTTTTCAGGAATGGTTTGCTGAGTAATAAGTTTGCCAAATTGCTCTCCAAAGGCTGTACCAATTCAGACCCCTCACCAGCCTTGTGTAAGAGCCAAGGATTCCTTACAATACTGTCAGATTCTTAAATTTCTGACCATTTACAAGATGTTAAATGCTATCTCACTGTTGCTTTAACAGTCCTTTTCCTGATTACTAGGGTGGCTGAAGAGTTTTCAAATATTTATGGGCCATCCTGGTTCCTTCTTTGAAGAACTGCCCATTTATCCCTCCCTCCCTAACTTCTGCTCTCTTCCGCTTCCTCCCTTTTTTTTTTCCCTGCGGCAAACAAATACTACTGAACACTTAAAAAATAATGATATACGCTTATGATAAAGTGTACAAAGTAGACAAAACTTCCTTCTCAGTAAGATCTTAGATTTTTGAAGGGAGATAAAAGATGATAACAGGTATAGTGGGGAAAGTAGGGAAAGATGAATAGGGAATGGATGGGGAGTTTAACAGTTTTACTGGAATGTGGTATTTGGGCAAAAGCATGAGGGAGGTGAAGGACTTCATCATACAAGTATCTGAGAACAGTATTTGGGCAGAAGCAGTGTGTCTGGTATGTTCAAGGAAATCTAAAGAGGACTATATGACCCATAAAGAGTAAGCAAGGAAAGCAATGGGGAAAACATTTGAGAATTCAAGGCAGGCTGGGTGATATAGGTCATTGAGTACTCTGGCTCTCATATTCAGTGATGTCAAGTGCCAATGAAATGTCTGATCAGAGAAGTGACTCAGTCTGAGTTCCAGTGTAAAGATTCATTCAGGCAGCTGTGTTAAAACATAATGCAGTGAAGCTCACACCTGTTACCCCAGCTACCTGGGAGACAGATAAAGGACTGTGTCTCTAAACCATATCAAAGTTAAAACAAGCTGGATGTGATGGCTCATGCCTCTCGGGTGGGAGGCAGAGATAGGATTGTGCTCTGATGCTGCTCAGGCAAAAGTTTGAACATCTACTTAAAAAACAAAATGGGAGCAAAGGACTGGCGACAAGGCTTAAGTAGTACAGCAAGGTTTGCCTACAAAGCATGTGGTCCTGAATTCAATCCCCAGTACTGACAAATAAACAGGAAAGAGAATGAAGGGAGAAAGGATGAAGCATGGAGCAGATTTAGGAGGTAACATGAGTAATCTACATGAGAAGATTGAGAGCTAATGCAACCATAACAGCAATGGTAATAAGTTCATTTTTGCAAATACTGGGTTTGAGATTCTTCTATGAAATTCTTGTTAACATTTGCAATATCTTCTCTAATAAATCTATGTTCATAACATGGAATTCCCATCATAGTTTATAGAAGTATCTCATTAATGCTGACAATTACAACACTAAACTCATTCTTTGCAATGCTTTTGCTTCTACTTTGTAGGGTTTTACAAAACTTTTGGGAGAGTGTTAATTAGTGTTGAAAGGCATTAAAGAAAACCCCTCTGGGTTCACAGTGGTAATTAACGATGAACAAATGAATAAATACAGAATTGTGAGAAGAAAATGAACTGTTCTTTTTTAAACAGGCCTTTTAATTTGCTTACTTTAATAAATACATAATTTAAACTAACACCATTTTTCATACTTTTTAGAGATCAGCAAACAGAAACTAGGATAAAGGTGAACTTTAAAATCTGTTAGGTAGGAATGTAGCTCAGTGGTAAAGCCCAGGCATAAGTCAGCAGCACTTAAATAAATAATCTAAAAATTGTTCACTTTTGTAACTCTATTTTGCTTTAACTACCTGCCAACTTGAACTTCCATTAAGTTTATTTGAAGTGTTCAATAGCTAAGCCAAGTGTGGTTGTGTGTCTTGTAATCCTGACACTCAAGAGGCTAAGGCAGGAGGATTGCAAGTTTGAGACAAGTAAGGACTCTGTCTCAGAAAACAAACCTACAGAAAACAAAACAAAACTAACAGTAAGTATTTAATAGGTAGAATATTACATAAAAAGTGCTTATAATGGCCAAAATTTATACAAAAGAATATTGACTGGTTAGGGTTAATGTGTTTTGTTTTTTGTGCTTCTACAAAGACAAAAACAATCTCTTATGCTCACTTAATATGTAGTAACCATATGCACTGTTTGTGGAAATTCCATGAGACATGCTTGGGACCAAAAGCATAACAGCTAATTGGCATAATTGACCTCACCATCTATAACTGAATTATTTAGGAAATATTTCACGTAACTAGAAATGAGAAAAGTTACCTGTGAGCTGGAATTCTTCGATCACCAGCAACTAAAATTACATCACATAACTGTTTATGTCTCAAATAGTTTTCCATTTTTTTAAATGTTTGCTCAGCATGATTAAGGGCTTGAAAAAATTCATCTGATGAACATGGTTCCATGGTATGGCAAGATGATGTCTGACTACTATTGGAAGTCCTGAAAAAAAAGAAAACACATTTTGAAATATTACTATCATACTGAAAACACCTTTCCTAGTAAGCCCTGTTAAAGCCTTCAAATGTATTGGAAAAAACAATGCCAATCAGTATTAATGTATGGTCACTCAATATGTTACTTTTATGAGGCAGGATCTTTTTTCTGTTTTTTTCCTCTTTATTGTTATTATAAAGGTAATATACAAAGAGATTATAGTTACATAAGTCACATAATGAGTACATTTCTTCTGGGACAATGTCATTCCTTCCCTCATTCTCTCCCAGTTTTTTTCTTTTTTCCTGTCCTCACCCACAAGTTCTACAGTCATTTTTCACATAGTGTCTAGTGAGTACTACTGCTGCATTGGTTTGAGTCAAGATCTTGATATTCAGCCAGGCTTGCTTCAAACTTACAATCCACCTCCCTCAGTCTTCCAAATGCTGGGATTATAGACATGTGACACACCCTGCCTACACTGATTACTTTTGCTTTTTAAAACCAACGAAGGCTCAAATCATTTGTGTGTCTATAAACACTAAGTGAATGAGTCATTTATCTGCTAGCTAATAGTTACATATATTCTTTATAGAGCCAAGCTATATAATATTGATAACCTTATCACTAACACTATATTTAATGGTGTAAGAAATCATTCTGTTCTTATGTCTGAAGGCAACAAAGCAATTAAAATGTTTTGGATATATAAATCCTAGTCATCCATTACTTAAAAATGGGTTATACTGCACAGTTCATTTACTAAATACACTGTCATAAAAACAAGTGTTATAAATCTTCTGACTCCTTGGCTAGTCCTCAAAAGCCCAGATAATCCATAATATATATTAAATAAGTTAGATTAAAGCAAAACCCAGGGGTTTAAAACATGATTTGAAATTTGCAAATTTTAATTTGAGAAGCATGTTTGCCAGTAGGCATATGCCACCAAGCTTGAAAGTCAAGTAATTGATATCCATCAGTTACACAATCAACAAAAGTCACCAGTTTAGTTCCCACTTCTTAACACATTTTAACAATACTAAGATTCTGATGAATGCTTTGTTGTATCAAGCTTTTCTCTATCTTGAGATTTTTCTTAATACAACTATTGAGTAATCTCATCAAAAACAAGAAAGACGAAAGTTTTCACTTTTTTTTTGGTTGGTCATGGGGCTTAAACTCTGGGCCTGAGCGCTGTCCCCTCACTCTTCAGTTCAAGGTGAGCGCTCTACTACTCCAGCCACAGTGCCACTTCTGGGTTTTTTCCCAGTGGTTTATCGGAGATAAGAGTCTCACAGACTTTCCTGCCTAGGTTGGGAACCACGATTCTTGGATCTCAGCCTCCTGAGTAGCGGGGATTATAGGCGTGAGCCACCGGCGCCCAGGCAAGTTTTCACTTTTTAAAGCCAAGTGCTTCGTCAAGCGTTGTAGCATTTATTCATGATAGAAAAGGCTATAGAAGAGACTACTCTGTGATCACTGACCCCCTTCTTCTTTCTCTCTTATGATTATGGCCAGACAGCATTTCCTAGACTCTCTTACAGATCGTCTTATGTTGGAAATGAATTGTTATCCCACAGTTCACCTTAGCTGGTGTGGCTAAGAGCAGCATGGCTTTCCTATACTTTCCCCATCTACATGCTGACTGGAGAAGACTGGGGTCTTAGATGAAGAGATCAAATACAAGAAAGGCCATTGAAACAAGAATGGTTATATATAGAGTACGCTCACAACAACTTATATTTGACTGAGATTTATGTGTTTCTCAAGCTAGCAGTACTTTGACATAAATGTTCTCCTAGTCCATTGCATTTTCAGTGCTTTATAAACATAAAAAGTGCACATGGCCTGTGGATGTAGCTCAGTGGTAAAAGCATGTATTTAGCATGTGGGAGGCCCTAGGTTCAATTCTGTCCCCTGCAGCACCCCCTACTTCCCCCCTAAAAAACCATCATTAATCTCATTATGAGAAAAAAATTCTAATTTTTGAGAGCCACAAATTCCTTTAAGAACAAAGTAAATAAATCAAATACTCATTTCTTGTATTTAAATTATCAATAATGACAAAACGAGTTAAGTCGATTATTTTTTGAGTGAACTGCCACCATTCAAACCAAACATAAGCACTTACAATATTGAATTCTGAAAGAACAACATTTTATAAAACTTTCATCAGTGATTATTACAAGCAAACTTGGATGCTGATCTAAGCCCAATTACTGGATACATCATCTCATTTCTTATCAAGAACTTGGTGTTTTGTGTTCAGATCCTGAAACAAATCAGTATACTATGAGGGAGTCCTGCCACCTGGGGCCCCACTTCCTGAGGCTCATTCACTACATCTGAAATGAGACCTGATCCCTATTTTTCAGAAACCCTACAGGCAATCCTAACATCTGTCACAGGCTGAGGACTGTCAGCACTCACCTAATCCAAGAGATGAGTATAATAAAAAGTCAGTCCATGATGAACCCACAGTTCAAAACACTGACATACACAATGAATACTCCATCACGTAAAGTAAATTTCCCTGGATAAAATAATTTAACAACATAAGTTAAACTGAGTGTTAATTTCAAAATGAACATATAGGTAAAACACCATATATATTTATAAATATGTATATATATATAAACAAAAACCATAACACTTCAAACTTCTTTATGTATTGTCAAGTCTTCAAATGCCATCACATGTTAAATGAACAAGGAGATATTTCATAATGTGGGTATAGAAATCACTTTCCTTGTTCCAAATGCAAGGTCGAGGCCAAGGTCAAAAGAAGTGTAAGTAGGTCTGGGAGTATGACTCAAGTGGCGAAGCACCTGCCTAACAAGCACAAGGCCTTCACTTAAATTTCCAGGATCTTCTAAAAAAGTGCAAGCTTTTCATCTGAGTCTTATAGAAAAGTAAAGCCATCACTCATGAAAGACCACATTAAGAGTAAGCAACAGAACTATTCAACAGACTTAAACAGCTGCATAAAAACAATTCTTGCTTTTATTTTTTAAAGACATTTAGGACTTTGTAAAAGCAATTAAAAATGAATTTGCTTAAACAAAGAATTTACTGCTCATCCACCTAACTTTAGACCATTAAACTATAGTTTAATGTACTGAAATGTAATGACATACACAATTTTCACAAGTAGAAAGAAACTATTCAGTCATTTAATTCAACTGCCTTATACATCATCTCATTTGCAGATAAGAAGTTTTGAGATCCCAAATGGCCAAAGTGTCAAAGCCAGGATTAGATGATATCAAAGCTGGTCAAATCATCTGTGAGGGTATGGGATTTTCATTTACCTTTACACTGAGGCAATGAGTGCTAGGACTGAGGTTTTAAAGGGAGAACGGTAGTTCAACAGAAAAAAAAAAGACTAGTTTGAAAGATTTTAGACAAAAGTTCATTGCAGTCCTGTGACTGTACCTTAGCTATGTGTAAGAACAAGCGTCTCAGGTTTCATAGTGATCATACATATCACTGTCCCTGACTGAACTTTCTGATCTTCAGAGGATGATATAAATACTTCCTCTTCCTTTTCCTATGTGTTTTAGTTTGGTCATGAGGATTTGCACTAGGATTTTTTTTTCCTTTTGACATGGTTTTACTACATACTCAGGCTAGCCTGGAAATCATATTCTACATGCTTCTGCCTATTGAGTGCTGGGATTACAAAAGTGTCACATATCTGACTTGATACCAGGATTAAAAAAACTAATTAAAAATATCTTTAAATGATTGTACAAGTTTCAATTCAACACAACAATTTATGTGTGTAATGCATCTTGATCAGTGTAACCTCTTCTACCATTTTCCCTTCCACCCAAATCTTGATTATTTAAAATTTTTTATTTAGCATTAAAAATTAAGTTTCTACTGTCTGTAGAATTACAGTTGAACAGTAGACATGAAGGTACAAAAAATGGACAAATCATAATAAAACTCAACTGTATGCAACTAATATACACTAACAAAAACAAAACAAATAATATGGACCTACGCTTGATGGTCCAAATCTTTAAAATCTCAGAGGGATGAGAGATTTCTTTCTTTCTCATTTAGGATTTACTCCCTTGATTGTGTTGCAGAAGACAGACACCAGAAGTGTCATGTTTCCTGTGTATCTTTTTTTACCACCCCAAGAACTGGAGTTGGAACTCAGGGCCTGGGCAGCTGGGTTTAGCTTTTTTACTCAAGGCTGGTGCTCTACCAGCTAAGTCATAGCTCCACTTCCGGCTTTTCGTAGTTTACTGAAGATAAGAGTCTCACAGACTTTCCTGCCAGGGCTGATTTTGAACCAAGATCCTCAGATCTCAGTCCCTAGAGTAGTTAGGATTACAGGGTGAGCTCTCAGCACTGTCTTACATATTATAAAGCAGCTTCAAAATTCCACTTCATGGCTCAATATTCCTTCATGGAGTAATTTTTCAAGAGAAGTTTCTATTTTTGTGGCACTTTTCCTCCAAACTCCTAATTCTGGTCTAGTCATTAGAAAAAGACAAATCCCAACAAGTAACAAAACACCAAAGTCATGAAAAGCAAGATAAATCCAAGAAACCATCACAACCATGAGGCACATAAAAAGACATAACTTCATACAGTATGATATATTGGGTCAGGTCCTGGAGCAGGAAATGGGCATTAGGTAAAACAACATCAACAACAACAACAACAAACCCATAAAACTTAGGAAATCTGAATATTGTGGACTTCAACTAAAAATAACATCAGGCCAGGACCCAATGACTCATACCTGTAATCCCAGCTACTCAGGAGTCTGAGATCTGAAGTTTGTGGTTCAAGTCAGCCTTGGCAGGAAAGTCCATGAGACTCTTATCTCCAACTAACCACCAGAAAACTGGAAGTTGAGCTATGGCTCAAAGTGGTAGAGTGCCAGCCTTAAGCAAAAGAGCTCAGGGACAATGCCTAGACCCTGAATTCAAGCCTCACAATTGACCAGCACCACCCCCCAAAAAAGATAACAACAATATTGATTCACTAAAGTAATGATGTACTATATTAAAGTGCGATATAAATAACAAAAAATTCAGCATGGGATATTAACATATATATTACATATTCCACACTGTACATCACTAATATACACATATGTAGGTATATATAAGTGTATAGTACTGTTTTTATTTTTTATAAATTTTAAGCTAAAGTTCTTTTTTTTTTTTTTTTGGTCCGGTTGTGGGGCCTGAACTCTGGGCCTGGGCGCTGTCCCTCAGCTCTTCAGCTCAAGGCTAGCGCTCTACCACTTGAGCCACAGCGCCACTTCCGGCTTTTTTTCTTTTTGCTTATGTGGTGCTGAGGAATCGAACCCAGGGCCTCTGGCATGCAAGGCAAGCGCTCTACCACTGAGCCAACTTCCCAGCCCTAAAGTTCTTTTTTTAAATGCAGCTCTTTTACTTACTAACCTTGAGCAAGTTACTTAGTCTTTCTGTGTCTCATTTGTTTCATCTGCAAATAACAGTAACTATTTAATCTGCTGTGAAGGGTAAAAGAATCCATTTATTAGTATGTTTAGAACTTCCTGTATGCCTTGTATTAGATAGATAGTGATTATTTTGGAACTTTTAAAAAGTGAAACCTTATACAAATTGAGTAAAAAGTCTAAAATCTAAAATATTAAACTAATTTATAAACAAGATTTGAAATAAGGAAATTCCCCTCAGTTTAAAAGATTTTGCCACAAGTTACATTAACTTCTGAGTGAGCAAATTAGTTAAAGTATAAATTTTGTTTTATACTGTGTTCAACATCATGGTTACCACATAAACCCTGTTAAGAATTTGTCTGGAATTGAGGTTTTAGCAATCTATAGTTCATATGATTTTGTTTAGAGTCTAAACTTCCCAATGATATAAAAAATGAGATTTTTCTTAAAAATCTCGAGTTTATATTTTAATATCAATGACTTAATTATTCTTGTGGAGAGATAGTGAATAGGCTATAGACTCAAGATCAAAGTAAAAAGGCAGGACATTTTAAAACCATTTAGATAGTAAAATGACCAGGAGTCTAATGTTCAGGCACATACTTCTCTTAGCTAGAAATATATCTGGTAAATCATATTATTTACATATGCTCCTAACTCCAGCTTTATTTTATATTTATTTTTTTCCAGGGCTGAGGACCGAACCCAGGGCCTTGCGCATGCCGGGAAGGTGCCCTTCCGCTGGGCTAAACGCTCAGCCCCTTAACTCCAACTTTAAATATCCTGATCCACTGAGGGTGTTGTGATTCTAAATATGAAAAAAATCACTCAGCATTCTTCTACTTTTTCTAATACCTGAACAATTCAGTTTACATTCTGAGATCTATGTAAATATTATAACTATTTACAGAAGTCACTATGGGCTGGGACCATGGCTCAAATGATAGAGCACTTACCTCATATGTATATATTTCTTAATTATGTTTTAGTATCTTAAGATATCAATCTATAATGTATTCAAAATATTTCCTATATGTTATTTACAAATATTATATGATAAATAAAATTGTTTCCAAGTTAAATATAAGTATTTGATGAATGTTATTGAAATCTCTTTTGACATTAACCATGATAGATAGGCTTTGATTTGTTTATTATAGGACAACCACTTAGAGAAGTCAGGATGTTCACTTAATCAAAAAACTGAGGCAAATAAATATATCTTTGGGACAAGGTCAAATATTAACTTTATTTTTGAAATAATACTGTGGAAAAGTTTGGTCTCTGAAATGCAAACTATCTACTACCATCGTACTTAGATCAGTCTTCTTGATTAATAGTTTTAAAATAACTGTTTGCTCTAGGTTTTTAAAGCACCATTTTCATTTTGATCTATCAATGTCGATCTAAAATTCTTGAAAAATTCATATAGCAATCTCTCAGTACAACATATTTCTTTTCTTTCATAACAAATGCCCCATCAAGATGATATTTCACCATGCTATACCAAATAATAGATGATTTAAATTCAGGTGTTATCAGCTATGCAAATTACCATTGTTGTGAGGAAGTAAATTATGGTGACCACTATCCTTCCTGAGATTAAACATAATTTTTCTAGGAACTAGATTCATGTTAAGAATTTTATGACCTATGTTGTAAAGGATGAATATTTCCGTTTTGAAAAAACTTTGTAATTCAATTTTCAAATGGAACAATGATTATCCCTTAGTTCCTCACAAAAAATGATGCACCTTTTACTGTGCAAGTTGTTCTCTTTATGGCAACAAGTATCCACAGAAAATACGAAACAATGAAATACCCTACCTGAGTGATCTCTGAAACAAAATTAGTAGTTTTCTGGTCCCTTACAACAATGCCAAGTCATGAACTAATTTAAAAAAATTAAATGCACTATTTACCTATGTAAAGATATTCCCTCTCCATTATACAACTGATTACAGATGACTGGTCTATTTTTTCTATCATTCCAACACCACAATTCAGAATTCCATGTTCTGAAGGTTAGAAGAGTGAAAGATAGTAGTAAATATCCTCAATCGGGAGATCTATGCATACATGAATTAATTTTATTTCAATCCCTTTTGATGCTTATATCAACAATAACAAAGCAAAACCTGCAAAGAAATTTTAAGTCAAATGATACACTACTTGTCTTTTAGCTATTTAGAAATATTTTCCAATGAAAATGAATTAAAAAGATGACTTATGCTCTAACTTGTTAGACTATAATGTTATAGTTGTTCAAAATGATTAATAAGAAAATTCACTCCTAAAAAACAAACCAGATTCCAAGGGTGGTGAAGAAAATTATTTGTATGAAATTATTAGTTTTTTCTTTACTTCTGTTCTTCTAATTTATTCCCTGTCTTCCTGCCCCCCTTTGCACCAGTGGATGACAGCTAGTCCCTCTACATTCCTTTAAACTCTCCTAAAAAGAATGTCCTTTCTTTCTCTGAATAGCAGGAATCTAAATCTAAATAGCTGTAAAAGTGAAGGTAACAGGAATTAGTAGCTGTCATCTTGGAAAAGATGTGTTACCTGGTATTTCTCTGTATTAGTCAGGAGAGCAGCAACAGAAACAGGACAAAGAAATAACCACAGAAAAATAGTATTGACAACTAAAATGGTGTCAAAAATGGACAACTACCATGTGGGTCTCTGTAAAATCTTCATTTCCATTCAATTTAAAATGAGCATAATTGATCATAAGCTAAATTTGTTACAAAATTTTATACTATAGAAATGTCTTCTGTAGTTTTGCTATGCATTTAGAGAATAAATAAATAAAGCAAACCACTAGGTGATGATGCTTAAAATTGTTACTATATATTATTTTCAAAGCAAGTCAGATCTACACATGAAAGACAAACTATTTCAAAATGAATGCTATTTGTTATCTTTATAATTTTATAGAATTAATGTGGGAGCATTAAAAAAAACACTAACAAAAGTACTGCATGCTTATACCAAAATACTACTTAGGCAAGATGCTTGTAGATGTACATATAAGCATATATTTTAAACAATAAATACTACATTATTTTAGGACATTATAGAGAGTATACGCCCACACCCCATTTCTAACAGTAAGAAAATAATCAACCTGCATGAACTGGAATCAGATTCATTTTCTTCTTCGCTAGTGCCATCATCCACTTCTGGTCTATCCAGCCAATGTGCACCGCCACAATCTTCTGCTGTAAACTCAAATGCAGGGACTTCAGAGGTGGATGCCATTGGCCAAGAAGGTGAATTCTGAAAATCCAGTTGGCTGGACCTTCGGTAACCAATTGAAGCCAAAGGCAATTGTAGGCTACATGGATCTAAAAACTTTCTCCCACCGTTTGCTCCAGTCTGTCCTCGATTCCAAAATTCTCCCTGCTGGCTGTCAACTGCAGAATTAGGAGATGATGCTTGATGGCCAAACCACCTCCATCTGATTTTCAAAATCTGTTTCACATCAAACTCTTTACGAGAACCAGACATCCTCAGTGAAACCAAGTGATCGTCTAGGCAACGGGCAAAAAGCACTGCACACAGAGATATGTGCATCCAACCAAGACAAGAGAAGTATATGCCCTGCTGTACACAACAAACAGATTGAAAGGAAAATAAATCACATTCACATATATCTACATTTACTTGCATGCCAATATATCTATCAGATTATAAAGAACAAAGGATAATGAATAAAGATGAAACACGGTGGAACATTCCGTTCAATCACAGCAAACTCTGATCCACCTATCCTGAAGCAGCTAGACCACTTCCCGGCTCTCCTTTCCCAATCTGACCATTAGCTCTCACCAAACACTCACAGCATTCATTAAAGTCCTTTCAAATGCAGAATACCACCCCCTTTTCTTAGACCACAAATGACCGAGACAGAAAGCACTATCCCAGTGCAGTGTCTCAGTCTCTCCTGCTTACTGTATTAACTCTTTTATTGCTGAAACAAGAAATGGATTCCAGAGCATTTTCCTTTGTACTTAAAAAACACTTTACAACGGAGGCGTTCCTATTTTTAAATCAAGTTGCTAGATGAAATACCACAAAAAGAGTTCTGTAAAAAGCGTTTTTTAATTAGGTAAGTTATGACAAATGTCAACCTTTGCTCTTTGGATGAGGGTAAGAGTGGGAAGAAGTACAAAGGTGGGGCTCCAGATTGTTACCTTCCGCCTTTATCTGAAAAGGAGTGCGTTCAATTAATGAGGTAAGATTGTGGGAAAGACTTCATTTGAACAAAGAAGAATCAGAAGCAAAAGTTTGAAAACTACCAAGGTTTAAATTGTGACAGTTCTTACTCTTTTTCCAATAAATGACCTGACGCCAACATTGCTCTATATTTCAGACAGAGTCCCTTCCATTTAGTAGAATAGTTAAAATTTCTAAGATACTACTTAGGAAAAGGAAAATGTGGTACTTAAAGAGGCTGTTTCTTAGGTATACTGGTGTCTTAATTGGGGGTACCCCCTGTTGTTGGCAAAACAAAGCAAGGGTGTGAAGACAGATACAGTGAAGACAAGTTAATAGACAAAACAAGTAAAAATCAAATTGTAAATGCTGAGTAGTTACTGTGAGTAATCCATGCATTATTAGGTACTGTAGGGACACAAAAAGGCAAGTTAAAATACAAAACATTATAATGCCAAAATACTAAAATTTTGTAGCCTATAAATACATAATTTCAGTTTCAGGGTGCATGTATCAAATAATTTCACACAAAAGGCTGTACTTGACTTAGCTAAAAAAACACAAAAACTAAAAGCTGCTTTGGAAGCATAGAAAAGTACTGTGAAGCAAATACCTTAACCTCACATAGCTCCTTATTATAATAAACAAAAAAAACTATCTACAAAAACAAGAAAGAGAAGCAAGAAAAACCACATAAAATTCCATGTTAATAGAGTGGTGTGGGCCAAGCCAGTTTCACTAGACTCCAGGCTTCTAAGAATAAGAAGTTATTCAGGCAGAACGATGATAGATTGATATAAAATAAGACAGGTATGAAGAAGGAAGTGAACATACAGACGAGGGAGGAGGAGAAGTATCAGTTTGATCATCCAGCCAGTCATACCTAATTAATTTTAAAAGGTGAGATAAAGTTAGATGAATCTGATTAGATAAAATGCTTTGAGCAAAAAGCAAATGTGCTATTAAGTGGACTGTTGAACAGGGCAATGTTTTAGAAAATTAATTTGGGGGCATACGCAGGAGGCACTGGACAAAGAAACTGGAGAATGAAATTACTTCTTTTCCTGACAGACTCTCTGGATATCCATACTGTTCTAATTCCATGTACTTTCCAATGTAGAAGATATACAGCTTCATCAGTTAAGATAGTCTACATTATGTTGCTTCCTCTTTAATAATGCTGTGTGTCTTCTGATTTCTCTGGTTTTAAAATCCTATTCCTTTAAAGTAGAACTCCACCCTCTAGAACATTTCTTTTTTACTTTTCTTTTTTTTTTTTTGCACGTCCTGGGGTTTGAACTCAGGGCCTGGACACTGTCCCTGAGCTTCTTTTGCTCAAGGTTAGCCCTCTACCACTTGAGCCACTTCTGGCCTTTTTTGTTTATGTGGTACTGAGGAATTGAACCCAGGGTTTCATGCATGCTAGGCACTAAGCCACATTCCCAGCCTCATCCATAACATTTCTTCAATTACTCTAGCTTTGTGGTTCTCAACAAAAATAGCACCCCCCTCTCCCTGACAAAGGCATCTAAAAATTGGAGGAAGAGCAGATTTCAGAGTGTGCTAACAGCATTCAGTGGGCAAGGGCCAGAAATAATAGACATCTTGCCATGCATGGTACAAATAAGAAAATGAAAACCAATTCCACCATAGCTCATAATGATCTTGCCTTCACTCCCTTCATTTAAGTATTTACCAAGGGTTCATATGTTCACTAACAGATCTTGTTTTCATGAAATTTTAAGCTTACACTTTTAACAAAGGGGAAAATTAAATATTTCAAAGGAATGAATTTTTACAAATATAATTCATATAGATAATATTTTATACTGGATTCAGTAGATCATTGTTGTGAAAGCCAGACCAGAGGTCCTCATTATAGTAAATTCTAGCTTTGAGAGCTCCAATAGCTAGAAGTCATTTTAATGATTTTGTTGTTTGGTTGCCTGTTTGAATCTTGAACTCAAGGCCACTGAGATATGAGACATTTCTTATCATTTTTTCTCTATAAGAAGAAATTTAAAGACCAACAGAGATATGAGTATTACAGATATGAAGGTTAAATTATGTCGTTATTCCCATAAAGGGCCAAATGCTCTTTCAACCAAAACTTTGAACTATACATTTAATAAATAAATACCTCATTGACATAGTAGCTGTTCTAGTGATTACAGGTGGGAGGATCCATGATCTTAAAGGGACACCAGAATTGTGGGTTCGAAAAGGCCAACTAGTAGTATTTAATTCTTAATGGCAGGAAGATGCATTTATTTATTTGCATATATGCATATATACACACATATTCTTTTTATCCACATATTATATACATATATGTTTTTGATTTGTATATATATGTATATTATACATATATGCACACATATTTATTGTACCTGTATACATATATACAAAGAAACCCTTTTACATTAGTGGATTAGTTCCATGTTATTTTCACTTATTTGGCCTCCTTTACCCATTCTCCCCAGTAATCAACATAGCAAGATGAGTACACAGACTCTCACATCTCTCTCCATGTTAAAATCATATCTAACTATATACATACATTTATAAGAGTTTTGATTATGGCTAAGAAGGATCCTATTGCTAACATTATTCTGTCATTTAATTGTTCTTACCTAAACTCATATATACACAAAAACATATTTTTAAGACTTTTTTTTAACGGTTTCATAACATTGCAAAATTGTAAAATAATTCATTGAACTATCTCCTTGCTAATGAAAATGTGGGATAATATCAAGTTTTTGTCTGTTTGCTATTAAGATTATGTGCAGTAAACATCTCTGTGAGTCTTTATTTCCATGGAATTTATTTCTAAGAGAACTGTTGAGTTGAGGGTACAGCATGTAGCTTACATTTGAGTATTTGACTTTCCTTAAATTTATAATTGAATCATAAAATGAGTGTACGCTTATTATCTATTTCCATAAGCCTGACACTTAGCAATGAATATTGTAATTCTTTTAACTCCAGATTGGTACCGGATGTGATGCTAACTTCAAAGGTTTATTAGGCTATTTCTGAGCTACAAACTTACATTTTTTTGCCTATTTTTCTCTTAGGTCATTTATCTTTGTTTCCTCACCAAGCAGAAGCCTTTTGTGTATTATAGACAGCTGTTTTGTTCTTGTTTGGGAAATATTTTTGTTTGAATCTATTTTCCAGATAGATAGCAACATTTTAATATAAAAGTTTAACACACAATAGAGTGTGTAAGTGACAAGTACATGAATTTTCATGATATGAACCCATCATATAATCTTCACCCAGGTTCATGAACAATTATTGTGACTATAGTAACACTTAACAAGTCTTCCTCATACCCCTTCCCAAAGATAAGTCTGCATATACATGGTCTGCATATACATGCATTATAATGGTACGTGTATCCACATGTACCTATCTTCAGAAGTAAGCCTGCCACATCATAAAGTATACATGTGTTCAACTGTTAATGTTACCAATTTATACTCCTAAGAACTGCAGTTACTCTACATCCAGCCAACACTGGTACTGTCATTCTGTTGGGTATAAAGAGGTGGCATACCATGAATATACAATGAAGCATCATTGTGTTTTCTTGAATATGAATGCTATTGAGTAATTTTTCATGTTTATTATTCATTACTTGGATGTCCTATATGCAATGGACATTCAGGTCTCATGCTCTTATTTTCAATTGCCTATCTTTATATTCTTGATTGTAAGAGCTCTAAAATTTCTGATAGTATCTTTATTGAAAAATATGTAGTTAGCTAAAATTAATGCTTCTATGGCATGAAATTAAGCATTTATTTAATTTTCCTTCTGTCCCAACAACTTTATGCATGTGTGTGAGTACTGAGGGCTTGAACTCAGGGCCTACGCACTGTCCCTTAGCTTTTTCACTTAAAGCTAGCAATCTACCACTTGAGCTAGAGCTCCACTTCCAGAACTTTTTAAAGGTTGGAGACAAGAATCTCCTGGCCATTCCTTCCTGAGATGGCTTTGAACTAGTATCCTCAGATCTTAGCCTCCTGAATAGTTTATTAAAGGTATGAGAGCCACTGGCACCTGGCTTGTCCTATCAACTGCTGCCATAAAATATAAAAACTGGTTCAGCCAAATGTTTTCTAAAACAATTATACAGTTAAGTTTCCTACATGAACTAACTAGTTTATGCAATGGACTACATGGACTAACTAGTCCATATAATATTATTCTCTGGCCATGAAGTTCTAACTTTTTTGTAGTACTTACTACTATGTGGCACATTAGGTGTTTATTTACTGTCTTTAACTTCACTACAAGATAATTTCCAGTAAAGCTTTGCTTTAGTTCTTCACTGTAACCCTGGTGCACTTATACAGTTCAATGGCAAAAAGTACTAA